TGACCGTCGAAAGTCAGCAAGCGAAGGATGCAAGGCTTTGACTCATTTCCTCGGATACTCGAATTTCGGGGTTGCAATGGGGCACTTTTCACGGGGCACGAGTGTGGAAGCAAGTTGAGGGGCCCTAGTATCGAAACACAGCCTCTCACATAAAATCCCCAAGTCGAGAAAAGAACCTGGTGCCATGTCGCAAGGCTCGGTGTCCCAGTAGTGCCCTTTTACCTTTTCTTAGTAGGGGAGGGGTCCCCTACAAAAACGACTACAGAAAAAAAGTACCCTTATTCTAACCTCTCAATTCTGGAGGACCTAGAAGGGCACGTGCGAGTTGTCTTTCGGATTCTCCGATTCTCGAGCCACAGGAGTGGCTCCAGAGCTTTCAAAACCCTCCCGCGAAGAAGCTGCGAAAGGCGCGGCGATCGATTCGAATGGAGGGGTGCGAGTTCAAGTTGGGGTGTCATTCCCACCCCCTAACTGGAAATCATGGGGGCAGCCCCTGTTTGTAGAAGATGTTCATTTACGCCGCAAAGGAAAGCCAGATAAATATACTAAAAAACTGGGACTTGATGCAAGTAGACACCCGTTGAGCTGAAAATCGCCCTCTGGCACTGGTTCATGGTTGTTGTTGGGAAACATTTTACATGTTTGCTTATTGTGGTTTAGTGGGAAATCCCCACTTAGCTGCTATTTTTTCCAATTTTTGCTCCCCTTCCAACGTCAACCCAGGGTTTGGTGTACATCCTAAGACCCTCAAGGGTACCACTCACAGAAGTAAACTGGATGCATCAGCTCACTTCCCAGCGAATCGACCGTTTGACCATATGTGGTTTTCCTGTTTTAGCCCAGTTTTAGTCATGGCCCCAACAGGTTTACATTTTATTTCATGGTCCTTTGGGCGGGTAAATCAGACCCTCGTCAAAACTCGGAGCTTTCTCAACTTGACGCATAGAGACCTCAAGGGAGTTGAGCGCGACCATGCGCGACTTGAGGTGTTGTTATTTTTCTTGGGGGCTCCCTTGTTATTCCAGGCTAGTACATCAGTGTTACCTCCAGCAACCCTTAGTTCGTGGTTTGGATTGGTGGCTTGAGGGTTTGAACGCCTGGTTCTTGTAGAGGGTGAATTTGAAGCTACTCCAAACCACCAATGTAGCTGAATTGATATATTTTTCACATGTAGCATCTGAGACACGAGAGGTTGTCAAAGTGTAGGCCGATTTCACACAAACGCAAATCATGTGATAAAAGCACCTTCGTTTGCCGGAAAACCGATGCGCATTTCAATGATGTTTTGCACAATGAACTTTGCCAATTTGGGACTGGTTCAGCACTCAAAGATAGAAGGGATATCTGAAGGGGGTGATTCCAGTCAGTCAGCATAGGCACCCCGTGAACAGGGCTTCCACAGACTCCGCCATGTGAGGTTGCAAGAATGGTTCCAGCACCGGGCCCGACGGCCGTGTCCCAGTTTTTGCACAATCATATGACTATGAATGTTCATGGGGAACCACCTCCAAAGTTGTAGATAATATTGGTACGTGTGAGACTCAGGGGACTCACTTTGGTTTCCCTCTAAACCAGCCCCAAAAGGCTGATGAGCATGAACAAAAGCGCATACCCATATTCGGTCTCTATGATTCCCATGTCGGTAGAGGGTGACTCGCATTTTTGACCGGCATGGGCTGGGCGCGTGGGAAGCTGGCACCAGCTTTCCTTTTTGTAAACCTTGGGCATAAGCCTGCCCCTTAAATGGGGTCCAAACATGTCCAAACAATGTTGAATGACATACTCACTTGCTCAAGGCCGACCTTTCAACTTTTGAGTTGTCCTGTCCCCACAAGGTTAAGCTTTCATTTTTTGTTGGCAGCTGAACACAAAAACAATCCTTGGAAACGGGGCCATGTTTACCACATCTTCATGCAAGATTCAGCTTCGGCCAAGATGAGAGCACACATGAACGCTAGGACTGGATGCACGATTGGATGCTTGCTTGTTGCGCCCTGCAACTTACCACTGCCTTGTTCTGGAGAAAAGGCTGGAAAAAACGGTGTTGGTACTCCGATTCCATTTGATTCGACCTGTTGTTCCATGTTGTTCCTTTGTTTTGTTGGCACTTGGCAAATACTTACTTGGGTTGCACTCCTGTAGGGGCAGCAAATGGCGCCTTCCAACCATTCCTTGGAATCTACGATATTTCAAGTGCAGAGCGAAGGAAGCCACGGAGCATAATTTTCAGCAGTGTTTGATTGGCTAACTTGGAATGGTTGGGGAACGAAAGGGACATGAGATCATGGAGCGGCCCGCCTTTCCGTGTCTTAAGAGCGGCAGGAGGAGACGAATAGCGAGCATGGCGCAGACCTGTTCAAGAAGGCGCATGGGTCCCTAACTTTGCGAGGGACCAGAATTGATGAAGTCGATGATGCACATGACCAATCCATACTAAAACTATATCCCTGTCCGTTAAACGTGTTTCCAGAGAAACAATTGAGTACACAAAGATTCGGGCACGGGGATTTATTTCAAAGCCGACCGTTTGACCCTTGTCGATTCGTGTCGATTTGCGTGTGATAGCGGCGGTATGATCTTGAGCTGTTTGTGGATATCCATTCATTTGGGAAAATAGGTGTAATGGTTGAAAGCTTTCTGGCCAGTGAAATGGCTTGTTGTTTGTAACTGCGATTTGACCTATTCTTTTGGTTTCCCAGCTGGCATGTTTCCACGATCCAGGCAGTCATGTGTTTGGTGCGTAGCTATTGTCCAGCTTCGTACAGTTTCGGAACCCGACTGCCCTGAAGGTCTCAAAGGTGATTCCACGTGCCACTAAACATGGTCTAAAGAACGGGTTCCAGCTTGCACCGAAGGACAATCATTTGATCCCAGAGCTCATTTGCATGGCGATTTTGAAAAGAGTTGGAACCACTTCAAAAGTTCGGTGGACAGTCTGCCGCACCAAAGGCTCTCCCATAAAAGTTCGCACCCATGGGCCAAAAGGTGCTGGGGGTTGAGGTCCAACCGCTGAAATCCACACCGTGGTTGTCGGAAAGGCGGTGGTGGACCGGGAGAGCAGCGGGCGGAACCACGACGACCGCAGCGAGCTAGGCGAGAAGGGGCGTGTGCCCTGTCGGTGCGGTTACGCGGCGGTTTGTTGGTGAATAATTTGGGACCAGGATAGCACCAGATGAGATGGTATGTGACAGAGTGGACTGGTTCCCTACTTGGAAAATTCATGGAATCGGCCCTACCCTGAAAGTTGACTGTTTTATCCGTGGGAGTTTTCACGAAAGCTTCGCAAGTTGTGAAGCTGACCGCTGAGTGCCACACAAACACATATTGGCCTATTGCTCCCCAAGGAAGCGCGAGGGTGAGATAAGTCATTCCGCCCCCCCCCCCCGTTCCCCCGCCAAAATGACTGTCATGGACCACGTAGGTTCGACTCAATGTACGTGTCGGGGCAAGCTCCCTAGTGCTAGTGGAAGAGATACTGGAAGGACAGATGACCTCGGCTGCATCCTGGGGATTGAAATTTGTGAATTCCCAGCTGATACAAGCACGGCAGTGTCCCCAGTTAGTGGGAATTTTGTGCGGTGACTCCCCCTAGGACTATTCATCCTGCGGGTAGCCTGTGCAGATTGAAGCCTGGCCATGGAAGAACCTGACAAGTGCCTGGTGCGCACCGGCCTGTGGGACCTAACCCCTCTCACGCAGGAAGGGAAGCTCCAGGTTTCAAAGGCAAGAGATAGACACAAATGGTCTGAACCCTTTGGGGCCACTAAGAATGGACCCAGGGAAGCTAAAAGGTGGATGGTTTCAAGGCAAGCCAGGCCTGGGACTCCCCGCACCACCCATGGCGTACCCCCAAACAGCATTTCGTATCAAGGGCAGTGGGATCCACGCCACACAGGCTCAGAAGCTTTCAGGCAACTCATTGCCACATGTCGACCTCTCCCCGAAAGCCATCTCCACTTTCTGTGTGCAAAGCGCCAGGGAGTGCAGCGGGCAAGAGAGCCCCGTCAGGACTCCTGAGCCTTCCGGGTTTGCGGCGTTTGGGCGATGGATCAATGGCATGTGTCTCATGCATTGGGTACATGGCATGCTTTTCTGTCCCCCTTCCACATTTGTATATAGTGTGGAGCTTGCGGTTCGGACTGGCCATTCTGTTTTTCGTCCCTACTTCCAAGATTGCTTCTCAAGAGGGCCAATTCGCTCCGGTTGTTGATCCCTGAAAAAGGGCTTTTTCAATCACTTCCCCAGTGCCCCAAACCACTTGTCACCTGGGAACCAAGGGTCATGGAAACTCCGGATGAAGAACCATTGAATAACCTCTGGTTGATTCATGGGGAGTGTTCTCTTTTTGTGGGGGTTCATGACTATTGGAGGGGAGCACTTCCCCTGTTAATGGCACTGTTTTTGTTTTTTGATTCGGGCTTCCCATTGAACTACCAACCATTCTAGAAAGGTAGTCCTTAACTTGGTTGTCCTTTTTGGTGTGGTGGGTTTTCGTCCCTTGGATGGTCGCGCCTATTTGCGGAGGATTCCTGCTTCAACTTGAGAACTGTCATTTTCAGACGCATCCTCAACCAATCCCTTCAAATAATATATGACACAAGCAGTATGAATAAACCCCTAGCATATTGACATACCTTTCAAGGCTAACGATGCTATCCAACGGCTTAGTTAAGCACAATTGTGCACGTGTTCAAGAAAATTGTGATTCCCCGGGCCAAAAATGGCTTTCCCCGCATTTCGGCATTGAACTTGTGCAAACCAGCGTTCAGGTCCATGGAATCCAAAAAGTTGTTTTTTTTTTAACTGGGAAACCCATCTTAACCTGTAGATTTACAGAATGGTTCCTGACACATGCTTTTCACGGGGATCACTGGATTTCCCCAAATCAAAAGTTGCTCAATTTATCTCTATTGAAATTTCCATGGATTTCCATCCAGGAATTTCCCTTGAAGTCGCCACTTTTGGAGCTTCCCAGAGGCCACGGCTCACACACCTGGGCCCAAGCCTCTGGCAGCGCGAATCGAGCGGAGCCGCCATGGAGCCGTCGGTGTCTCGCGTCGCAGACGATCCCCAGCTCTCGTGGCCGAAGCGGGCCTTGGGCCTCGGCTGTGGTCTGGTGGACGCCTGGAACGAACTGGTTCGTGACAACCTGAGAGCTGTTGACTTGTGGCATGTGGTCCACTTCCATGTTGGCATTTGGTTTGGTAAAGGTTCCAAATTAGCCTTTACTTCTATGTTCTGGTGCTTTGGGCAAGTGAGTTCTGAGTGCTATGAGAAAACAGTGAGTTAGCATATCAAGCAATGGTACAAGCACACAAGTTCACACATTTTGACCCGGGAAGCCGGTCGGCCATGGGATTCCATGTGACTGATTGCTACTCACCATACACTTGGCCAAATTCGAATTTAGCTTCCTTGCAGTTGCTGGCTTGGTTTGGTGGTTAAGGACATCCGATGCACCAGGGGTTCAATTCCCCAAGCCAACCCAAACCGATGAGACACCAAATTCGAATGCTGAGCCGGTGAAGCTGCCTGTCAAGCCCGGTTTTGCCTGGCCACTTGGACCAAAGCGCAGCTGGAAATTGCCCAAAGGGAACTGGGTATGCGGCATTGCGTCAAAATTAAACCATTTACCAGGGTGCCATTTTGGGGTGACCCTATTGTTGACCCACAGCCAACTAGCCCTGACTGGTATAGCATTGTCCCGATGAATCCAAAGCTGATATAGTTGCATCCTCTCAAGGGAGTTGGGTTGCCAACGGAAGGTTCCTTCCTGGTGGGGAATTATTATATGTCGCGCTTGTTCGTGATCAGCTTTTGGGGCCGCTAAACACGGGGCTTAGGGATTATGTTTTGTGATTAGTTTCAGGGGATACTTAATGAACCCAAACAGGGGAAATGGATTGTGTCATCTACGTTCACCCAACTCTACAAAAATGAGACTCCCGCCTGTATGACTATTGGGAGGCAACCACCCCGCCAGGGGTATATTTTGGGAAGTCTGGATTGCCAAGGTAACCTCTCCTTTTTTGTCACGGCTGACACCATACGTAAAACAAGTAGGCGGTATTTACCACTCAGAAAAGGAACGGCTGTACTGTAGCTTTATTCCTTCCGTCTGAGTCAAATGAAGAAAACGTATTCATCCGTAGCCATTGCTGGTCAAAAACAACACTAAACAACAAACACGCAAAAACAAATTCATTGCGTCCCCCGACTGGTAACAAAAGAGTCGCACAAGGACCAGGCGCTGGGGCGGCTGTCACTGTGGAAGCCCTTCTCCTCGGCACGCTTCTTCGCCGAAGGCTGGGGGCCCCTGCAGGAGCTGCAGGACTGGGAGAAGTGGAGCCCATGGGTGCGAGTAGACCCGTCACAGGCTGCACAGGCGTCTTTCTTGCGTACTGTAAAGCCGATCTTTTTCGGTTGGGCTCGTGCAAATGGAAACCAAAAGGGGGGAAAATATTGAGGTTTTTTTTGTCAGACCTTTTCAGCAACAGGGGTGGCTTCGGGGTTGATGTTGCCCTCATTGTATCCCAGATCCTACACTTCTGGGGGTTCTTGGATTTTCAACCAAGTGAAAGGGATTTCCCCGCAGCTTGGGTGCCCGAGTTTAAGACTAACTTGTGCTCAAACTGTCCACAGGATGCAGCTGTGCTTTCTTGACACAAGCCTCGGAACCTCCCCTTGGAGTGAAGAAGTTTTTGGACTTGGAGTGGCACAGCGGGCAATTCCCAGAGCTCCCTAAATTGTGGTAGGGATCAGGGGACGACAAGGGGACGATAAGGGGTCAAACAACTCTTGAACATTTAGTGCTTCAGGGATTGGAATCGACATGAGTCAGATCCGATGTGTGTCCAGGACATACGTGCACACACAAGCCAAAGACCAAGCACACAAAGTCAACAAACAAATTGTGGATATGGACTTTCACACACACACAAGTTCAAGCCGTCACAAAAAAGAACATCTAAAAACACACACACACAAAAACAAAAGAAGAAGAAAGAAGGCACAAAGCAAAACACAAAGCAAAACAACACAAAACAAGACAACCCACCACCAGCACCTGGAGGCCCCTTTCGAAGCCAACGACTTCAGGACGGGCGCGAGCGCCTGGAGGCTTTGATCTCAGAGCTCCAGGCGCGCCCGGCGCCCCCGGATGTGCTGCTGGGCCCGGAGCAGCAGGCGCACGCTTCGATTCGCTCCAGTTGGATTTCCCTTTGGGGGATGCGGGGTGCCAGGTAGATGCTCTTCAACAACGGTCTGGGATGCTTCCTTTGGAAGATGGCAAGTCAAGACCCCTCAAGTTGGTATATTGCCAGTTCCTGTTAGGTGTCAAGGGCCGTGGAGACTCCAAAGTATGCTTTTTTCCTGCCGGATACGTCTCCAAGACTCGGAATCCTTGCCAATCTAGGGGGCAAATTTGGTTTCCCCACCACAACCTGGGGGTGGAGGGAGACGTTGCCGCGCCAAAAGCCATGGGGACTAACTGACTAACTTGGATTCTCGCACCAAACGCCGAGCTTGGACCTTTTTGAGCCACTTCCGCCAGACATTGGCAGGTGCCTGGAGGGACCCTGCGTCAGGGCAGCTTCCGGCACCTCGGCTCAGAGCAGTTGGTCGACGTCCAGTTTTGCCTCAGCAATTCATCGGAAGCACCTGTTGCTTCCTGAAAGGTGGAAACAAAACCCTTTGGCGAAACTTTGGCGGAGTTTTGGAGTGTTCAACCCTGGGAATCTAGGACTACTCTTCTGAAACAAAAGCCTTCGCCATTTGGCGGGGGGGGCGGTTGACACATGCCCATTAGCATCAAGCCACGGCCGATTTGTTCCTCCTTGTGCTGGTTTTTGTGGCGGGAGCTTAGCGAAGTGTTCCTTGAGGCCAAGCCAGGAGCTTAGCTGCGGAAGACGAGCTGCCCGAGTGTCAACCCCGGATGTTCTACGCCCCTGGCCTATGAATGATGTCCTCCCCTTGTAGTGGGAGTCCGGATGACTTGGTTGGGTGACACCGCTCCTATGAACCGTGAACGGTGGGGTTTATTTATCCGGGCCCCAGTAAGCTTGAGCGCCCCTTTTGGGGATCCTAGGGCATCTGGCCTTGCGATCCCCCCCCCAAGCCGCGCCTCGCACACCCGCCGAGGAGCTCCTTTGCCGAGCACTTGCCTCAGGAGAGGATTCACTGTTGACAGACTTTGAAGCTTTCTCCCCTTTACTCCAGAGCATCGTGTTGTACCCTAGAAGGTGAGCAGGTTACTCTTCTGAAAGGAGTCCAAACCGGAGAATTATCCCGACACGAAGTGTGCTGAGTTATTTGGCCAGAACTGCGACACTTGCTGCCAGCAAGTGATACGCGTGCAAACCCAGGATGGACCCCCTCGCACCGTTTCCTCCCCTCTTGCAGGTTCCATATACATCTCACACAAAGAAAAACAAGGGTGCCTCCACAGGTTTTGAGAAAATGCTGCGTGGGATTGGAGCCCATTTTTTGGAAAGGTCGCAAGTTCATACGTGGCTACACTCGCAAGTGTTCCGAGGGTTGCAAGCCTTTGTTTTGGCTTTTCATAAGGGGGTTCCAGCCCTTTTTGAAGCCTACCCCGAAGAGTAGAGTGCCCTAGTGCCCAATTTTGCCCATGCCCAACCAACACCTATCCTTCAGTGGGGGGCATTTCCCCTTGGCCACTTCGGATGGAGTCAGCGAGCGACAAATTGGCGCAGGAGAGCCACCTTTGCCACTTTGAGCTCTTAGCCCCGAAGGATCCCTGGGCCGTGGTGCTGCACTTCCCAGGCACGGTTGCTTCGGTTCTTTTTGCTTGGCGTGTGTGTTTTTTGGCAGCCGTGGTTCCAACTGCAAGATCAATTGCCACAATCAAATCCGACTTATGTTGTTTTGGCATGTTGTTTTTGAATGAGCTTGGCTTGTTCCAAGTCAACAGAAATGGGGAGTTGCTTGGCCATGGGTTTTAGCGGTCCGAATTCCCGTGAACATGGTTGGGGGACGCAAGTCCCAAAGTGCCTTCCATTTAACTCGCCAGAGAAAGTCCAAGCCACCAAGGGGTGAGATGTTTGTTTGTTTGCAGTTTTTCATTTTTTAATGGGACTGTTGCCATACTGTATGCCAAGCAGCTCAAAATTTCAAATTTCTGGGCGAAGAAAGCCACTGGTTTCCTCGTATTGGTATTTGTCTAGTTGGTGCTTTAGGTTGGCGGTTGGGGAGAGTGAAGCCCTGGGTCTTGAGGGCAAGTGGAAACTACCCCCCGGAACATCTCCAAACCATAGAGTCCATACCACGACTCAGAGAGCAGCTGACTTTGGGCCCTTCGCACCCACAGGGATTGTTTTATGACAGTGACCTTTTTGGAGTTCACTTCCCGCGGCAAACCCAAGTCGTTTTGACTTCGGGTGGACACGGCAGCTAGATGACGGTGTGGGCGTGCTATCAGAACTACCCCGCTGTCCAGAAACGACATGGTCCGTGTGATACAACCTTTTGGCTAGTTCGGATGGGCGCGCGTTTGTCTTCTTTAGCATATTGCCACCCCACCACGGATCAAGTCGTGTAAAAAGATGCCCGCGCAGTGAGTTTCCTCAAGCAACGTATCGACGACTCCCGTTGCCAAAAGGGGGCCCAACGCGCCTGAGCAGGCACTGCCGACCAGTCCTACGGCTTCCGGAAATGGGCATTGGCGAAGCCGCTCTTGCAACAAGGCGGGCCTTCAGGGCGAGGCTGAAGTGGCTCTACGCTCCCTCCAATGAGCGCGGATAGGCAACCGTTGCAAGACTAGATAGCTTTAAAGCGCTGTCCTTTTGCAACCATACGAAGAAGGTATGCTAGCTTACCCATGATGATGGTTCTTGTATTGAGAACCCTTTTGTTTTGAGGTTAGGTGCTTTAACTTAAAGTCTGCATCCTTCAAGGATCTCCGGCAAGATGGTTGTGGGCCATTGCTTTCTTCGAAGCAAGCTGACATGCTCAGGTACCATGGCCAACCAGGCTGGTTTGTGTTGAAGGAACGCACCTCAACACCCCCCCAAAAAAAAACGGATTCCCTGCACAGGTTGGCGCTTTCACTGTTCACCCTCCATGAAGTAAAATGTTGGGCTCGAAAGCCAAGTGTATCTCCTATATTTGTGGATCCTGACTCACTTGCTGAAACTGTGTGGGGAGTGGTGGTCTGGACAAATGTGCAACATACTGAGACCCTTTTGGCTTCTTTCGGGGACATGTTATAAAATGGAGCAGGGCCCCAGAATGTCCCAGAGCCTGAGTAAACAAATTGATTGCCGCTTAGGGGCAACCTTAAGAAACCTCCTTGCTCATCACGTGAACACAAACAGTTTATGTGTTGGGATCATGACAACAATACACCAACATGGAATCCCGAAACATCAATGATAATGCGTTCGAAAAGCTGAGATTGTACAGCTCAGTCCCTGAAGGACTGACCGATGTTACACCAGGTTTCGAAAAAAGGCAGAGTTTCTCAGTGCGAGGCACAAATTCCTTCTCACACGCTGCCTAAGCCGGCATCCAATGCCTCCACCGACTAACGTGGAAGTGCACAAAGCACCTTTCCAAAGGGAAAGTAGTCTTTCTACAGTCCGTTGGTCAGAAGACCGCATATTTTCATGAAGGTATACTTGGCGCTGCAACCACTTTTTCTGACTTTCATGACCCTCAGAAACAGCCACAATAAGGACCCCAGTGGATTAAGCCATTGCTCGCTTCGCCATCAGCGTGTCCTCGCACTGGGCGCCAGGCGTTGCCTCCCTGCTGATGATGCCTCCCTTCTATGGCCCCCGGCGCCCCAAAACCCAGCAGCGCCGTGGCTGCAACCTGGGAGGCGCCCGAAGGCTCGGGGGAAGGAAACCCGGCCAACAGTCCCGCGTGTAGTTTTTTCTGCACTTCAAGTGATCACTGCTCAAGGCAGAGGACAAATTGTATCCCATGACCCCTTCCAGGATTTCCTGTGTTATTTGTTGGTCTGCGGGAAGTGATTGAAATTATTCAGGTAAAATGTGAAAGAGACACACGACGAATGCCGAAATACGGCCAGGGTGGGTACAAGTTGTCATTGGTTGAGGGTTTATTGATAGTGGCAGGTTCGCACAACCACTTAAGAGGTTTGTTCCTTTCAGGGTGGACGGTCAGCCCCTTAAATGAACGATGAGGATGGCCCCTCTGATTCTTGAGGGCGTGGAGGCTTGTGCGGGGCGCGAGCCAAGGCTCCATTACATCCGGACGGTGGTGGAATTCTGCCAGCAGTCCTCTGCACTTCTGCTGGAGGCAGAGAACTAGCCCCAAGAGCATAGCTGAACTTTGCTCGGTTCCATGTTGCAAACATCTTGTCTTTTAGTGGGAGAGGGGGAGGTCTATGTTTAACGGCGATGGGGCGTGGAATGGCACGCGCTACTCGGATTCTACTCTTCCGGTCCCGTCTATGCCTCAAACGGTTTTTGATGCTACTGGGGACGCCGTCTGCTTGGGCAGTGTAGCTGGTTCCTTTCAATTGGTCATGTGGCTGGTTCCTTGCGGCTTCCCTTTAAGCACTGCCCCCCTCCCCATACAAACGTGTTTCAGTATGTTTTGAATAAATGCTGTGTGCAAGCAGTGTATGGAACGGGGCCGTAGCCCATTTTCTGGGCCCTTTCTCGTACCCGGTTCCTTCGCGGATGCGAGGGAAGATGAGGGTATTGTAAGGACGCAGTTTTTTTCCCAGGTTGATTGAATGTCTGGCCAAGTTTCAGGTAATCCTTAGTTGGGTGTTTGGATTGGCGGTTTGGGGATTTGAACCCCTGGTTCTTGTAGAGATCAAATGGGAAGCTGAAAGTTAGCAAATGAGGAAATGGATCCAGGTGGTCTCAGTAGGGTGGAAGCGATGGAAGCAAGGAATCCTCATCAAACACGCACCCTTAAGGAAAAACAAATGGCGGAGGGTAGTAGCCATCAAGTACCCACACAACATACTCCAATTCTTTGTGCCTTTATGTAGTTTGGCCGTTCGTTGCAATTTTCTCTGAGACCCCAACAACCTCAAAACCCAACAGCCGCCGGCCTTCAAAACCTTGCCTTTCATTGCAGCCTTTGTGCTCTGGCGAGGCTGGGGCACCTCTGGCCGAGACATGGATGACCCCCCCCAAAAAAAAAGAAAAAGAAGGTCCGTTCTCCCTTTCCATTCAATCTTTGACACACCGAACCACAAAGAGGGCTTTCTTTTTTAAGATTCCCTCAAAACCCACTCCCAAACACCGGAAAAAACAGGGGGAAAAAACAAAAGGGGCATCAAGCAGCGGCTCTCGCAGGCGGTGCAGCTCCTCGACTGGCTCAGCGCCACCTGGCCGAGCGCCAAGCTGGCGACCTGCGGCATCTCCTGGGGCGGCGCCATGGCCTCCGCCCTAGGCGCAGACGAATCGACCGCATCGGCAAATCGGATCGGGAATGGGCGGAGGTGTCTTCCACCCGGGTGAAGGGACTTTCCAGGTAAGAGGTTGGGAGGTATGGAGGTTAAAAACCACTTCCATAAGGTAACGCGAACACTTCTGGGCCGGCTTTCACTTCGACCCCTAAAGTCTCAAGAGTGCAGCCGCTGGACCGGCACAGTGCTCAGAAGTCCACGGAGTTTGCACTAGTGCAAATTGGAAGAGGGGTGAGTTAGATAGCCAGATAATCATGCAGATTTGGTGCACACCGTGCTACCTGTGCTAATATGTTCATGTATGCATATAGTTTCTACTTTTACACATTCACATCTGCATATCATACGAAACCCTAGTTAAATTCATTTGTTCAATCGTATATGTTTACACATGTTGTGATTCATGTAGGTTCAAGTTTGCGTGTATATATATATACATAATATATATATATATATGTATCATGATTTACTGTAATAAATCGTTTAACATTTATTTATATATACACATGCCTATCTGTTTCTGCTTCAATCCTTGTGGTCATGTTTGTGTCAGAGAGTCTCCGCCTCGCCTCGAAAAAGGAATCCTTGCCAAGCGGCACGACCTGGCGGTGATCCCGCTACTGGCGTCCGCGTCACCGGAGGCCGCTCGGGAAGCGGGAAGCTTCGAGCACCAACGCGTGAAGGAGCAGATAGGCAAGACAAAACTTTCAGAAGAGGCAGCTCATGGGATTTTGTTTAAAGTATGGGTGTTGTTTCCCCCCTTTTTCACGGTAATGTGAACCTCGGACTGATCCGGACTGCTGCCTTTTCGGGAATTGTTGGGTATGGGTTCCCTTGGACTTGAGGGTTCCTGAAAACCATGGCTTTAGTTTTGTCAGGTGTTGTTTAATGACCCCCTTCTTTTGAATGTTGGCGTTCACCTCGCATTCCGGTTGACCTAGTAGGGTCTTCCTGATGAATCCAAAGCTCGCCTGGGAAAGCGAATTAGTTACTGCTGGGTCGACATTGAAGGTCCTAACCAACAGGATGCCGATTCTTTTTCTGCCATGGCCACTGGAGTTGGGGACAAAGGGACCCTCAATGCGGATAGAATCGGTTAGAATAATTGGCTTTTGAGCCTGCGCCAAAAAACAATAATGTGCCTAGCATCCGACAGGAAGTGTTGGAACAATTATTTTGTAAACCAGTGCTTGGACTTTTTATACTTTTGGGAAGGCCATTTCAGCGGAAAACAAAAATTGCGTTTTCACCCTGCGTTTCCACCAGCAACATGTCCACTTGCACAGGATCGATGCCTGGCCCAGCGAGGCTGTCAGGGTTACCTATATGTCATTTTCGGGTGATGTTGAACATCACCGACTGAGGGGGCCAGAAGGTGAGTTTCCTTTTGGAGCGCTGGGCGAGAAATGGTTGCACCCAGACCTCCAGTAGGTTGCGAGCCCTTTCTTTATTTTTTTGGGTAGTGGGTTCCCTTGAAAAAAAAAAGCAACCACCCCATGCAAGAGCTCTTGCCCCCTCAGGCACTGGATCCCATGTGAGGGGAAGAAAGGGGCCCCACGTGTGAAAGCCTCAGGTGCTGATCTCTGGCGCCTTGCGCGGAGAGGTCGCCTTCAGCCAGCTCAGCCAGGTGCGCGAGCGGGTGCGAGTTTTCTCGCTTCGGCGGGGGAGGGGATGGGGGCCGCCGAACCCATGGCCTATGTATTATGGTCGATTTACTGGGGAAAAGAGAAACGGAACGGAAACCATGAATCTTGTGGGCTCTGTTTTGTTTCGCAAACATATGGGGCCCTTTTGGTTGGTGCTTCATGGAAGCAACAGGAAAAAGCAACAGGCAACCAACCATTTTGTGACTTGACAAAGGAAATGGGTAGGAGGTTGCCATTTCCGAAAAGGAGTCGAAAGCATGGGGTCGGTAAGCCGAGGAAACAAGCAGAGCGGCACACCCCGACTGTCGCCTGCCTCTATAGCTGATCAGCTTCCTGTTCATTGGTGGTAGTGGTCGTGGTCGTTCACATTTACCCTCAACAAGAACCAAGGGTCTTTGACAAACGAGCTAACGAGCGCTAGTTAGCCTTCGAGCGCTAAATCAGCCAACTCGAAGGCTGTGTTGAAAAGGAATTGAGGCTACTTTCGAGGCACATGCGCAATGTGGATAATGTTTTAAATAGAGCAGCAGCTTTCGCGGATGAGGCGGCGCATTCCCGCTACAGAAGCGCAATTTCCTGCAAAAGGAACGCACGTCAAAAAGTGCTAGATTTGTCACGCGCGGCAAATCGTGCACATGAGTAGCAGAAAGACGGAGCCCACGCGATGGACAGTTCTCTCTTTTTCAACATCCGCATCCGAGCATTTGTCTTGATGCGCAGTAGTCTCCAGGAGCGGAAAATCACGCCCAACGGAAGATTCAGGATCAATAGAATGATATTTTGTTGAAAAGGGCCTACCTCCAGATCGAATTGTATCTTGATGTTCCGATGTTATTCGGCCTGAGTCATGACTCCACAAGTTTTGGTTATCTTGGGCAAGTGAGCAAGTGCTTGATGGTCCTGGTTGCAGGCGATTTCGTTCACGTTCATGTTTGACACTGAAGGAAAGACACGCGCCTCGTTTGGGTTTCGAATCTTGTGTGTTGGGGGGAGGGGTAGCTGCAATGATCTTGGTGTGTGTGTGTTTTGTCCTTTTTCATGCTTATCTTTCTGTTGGTTATTTCGTGGTGTTTGTACTCAACATTGTTGTGAAGATAGGGAAGACATACCAACATCCTCCCCGAAAACAAACATGGATTGGTGGACAGCATTTTCTTTTGGGGCTGCATACCCCTCGTTGTACCTCTTGGGGGACTCTTTTGGACGTGGCCACCGCTATGTTAGGAGAATTCCCAGGTGCAGCCATGATCCCCGAGAGATACAGCTGCAGCACAAGCAGCAGTCATGTTGTCAAAGTTAGTCAGGGGCACCCGCTTTATGTTCTTTTCAAGGGCACTTTCAGGTATGGGTTTTGAAGGTATGGAGGTGGTGTTCTACTTATACGAGGAAATTTCACCTCACAAGCTTCTCTTGGCATTTAAGCATCCATGCCTCCAACACCCATATCTGAAAATGCCAACTTAGTTCCTCAATGCTCCCCCCAACAAACAGGAAGACCTTCAGAAAGAAACATGGTTGTTGCTGGGAAACATTTTACATTTTTGCTTATGGTTTAGTGGTTGAAATCCAACCACTTAACTGCTACACTTTCAATTTTTGCTCCCCTTCCAACTTCAACCAAGAAAAGAGCAACACGCGCCCAATGCTGGGGGTCACGAAACTCAGTGAGGACGGCCTGGACCTGAAGGAAGCTGAGCGCCTCGGAGCCATCGGAAGCAGCTGGAGTTTTGTACGAGGAAAACGGAGCACATCACCCCTGAATTGTCGGGGAAATGACCTGAATGTTAGACAGGGCTCCTTAAATTATACATTCTGCCCATTTGAAACGTGGCTTTTTCCACCAAAATAAAGGGAAGCCACCATTTACAAGGCAATGTTCAGGTGTATAATGTAAGGATCCCTGTTAGAGAGTCATGGAGACTCCGGGCGCGCTCAGAATGAGGGACTTCAGGTTGATGCTCTTTTGGTGTCCCTTTGCTTGTCTAACGTGGCCAAATCGCCCCCGTTTGGTCGAAATTTGAGGGGGAAGCCGATTTTAGTTTTTGCTTCCACCTTTAAGATTGTGTTTGCCTTGTGTGTCTTGGGTGGTTGAAAGGCGAGCTCTGCTTTTTGGCGCTGCCTTGGATTCTGACTCAGTGAGGGCGGGACTTCCAGAATCAGGAACAGCAACCAACAGGGGCCAAGGCATACTGCATACTGGTATGAGATTCGAAAACTTTAAACTATCCTTCTACTTTGCACGTGTTGGCATGTGGTTGGGTGGGCTCGAAGGGTGCGAGAGTTTGCCAATGAGCACTAGCAAGCTGACTACAGATGTTTGCGTGTGTCCGCATCATTTGAGCCAGTCAAGGCAGGCAAGAAAGTGCCTAAAGGCACTTTCCATCGTGGACCAAAAGACCATGCAAATGATGTCCCCTGAAGGATTCCCAAGCAAAAAACATACCAGGTTCGGTCAAAGTATCCAGTATTGTCAATTCAGGGTTGAGGGATTTTGAAGGCTTACTCAATTTATAGAACCTGGGGAACCCACCTGTTCCCCATGAAGGGAACCGCAGTTTTTTTGTTTTTGGGTTCTGCGCATTCGCGGGGCTGCAACAAGCACACAGTCTGCTCCGGGAAGACACTTGTTGGTTTTGCTCCGGTGCGCGGGCGCTTTCTCGGACAACAAGAGGTCGATGCTGCGTGGCCTGCTTTTGGCCAACTCCACTGCGGAGCTGCACAGGCAGATCGCCCAGGATCCAGGGGTTCCCCAGATGGATATGTGTCAAAATAGGGGACCCAAACAATGGTTGTGTTCGTGTTGGTTTCTCTTGCGTCCAGCACCAGAAAGGGTACCCTCCAAAAAGCACATCCACACTTCTTGTTTCATGGGTTGTAAACAGGACCGTCTAACCCAGACACAGTGGGTTGCTTCCTGGTTTCCTGGTTGTTTTGGAGGGGTTTGCTGTCAAAATCGGCTACGAAAAAGGATTGCCCTAAGAGCTGTTTTAGCATCCCTTGTAAACCAGGTGGTCATTGGAAGTATCCTGTAAGGAACCCTTCTTGCAAGTCACCTGTTGGACCAATTTGGTGGGGTGACGTTCAAAGGAGGTAATTCGTAATCCTGTCATCGCCGATTTGGTTTGGGTATGGTTGGGTAAACTTTAGTGACCTCTCAATGGTTTTGGTTTGCGCCCTCACTCGTGATGAAGGTTCGTTACTTGTGAGTCCTTATTCAATAAGTGTGAATCATTGCGAATAATGGGAAGTTGTCCACTTGTTCGTATTTGTATTGTTTTGAGGATAGCCTTCAGTTGCGTGAAGGGAGACCAAAGGGAAGTCACCGGTTTTGGGTAACTCAACAAGTGTGCTCAATTTTGTGGGCCGTACACGGGCTATCACGGGCTCATGTTTTTCTCAAAATTACGCAAGGGGGAGGGGGTCTGAATTGTTCGGGGGCGAAACAAGCCAATTGAAAGCAGCCACAATGTGGTAGAGATGTTTCGGTTTTTCGTCACCCCCCCCACCTTGCCCAGATTGGGCATTAGAAACTGTCGCGAGAACACGGGCCGCTGCACTTGCTTGGATTTGAAGCAATCTATGCAATGAAATTGCCCCTCGAGGACCTCCAAACAGGGCTTTCGAATTTGGAAGGGCAGTCAAGAGTCGAGCTGAGTGCTTCTTGAGGCACTCAACAGCCACATGTTCAGACATGGCTCACTTTAACCCCGCAAATGCACTCAACAGGTCCTTGTTACAAGTTGATCTCACCACTTAGAATCCGCCAAGCCACTTCACCCACCCCTTTTTCAGGCACCAATTTTTCTCCCCTGTTCAGCTGCCCACCGGGCAGGTTCATGGCAGAGCTGCCGGGGCGTCGCGGCACCAAGGCGCGCAAGAACGTTCAATGAGTTCGGTTTGAGAACGAAATTTCGGACACGCCATGGGTCTGTCTCAAAATGGGAACCGGAACCCCCCAAACTGGAGTGCTTTAAGAATGAATGCACAATTTGGCCGGGCTAGTTAGCCAGATGGGGCTGTCTTCTTTTGAGGGCACCGCACCCCTTTCTGGTTTGTTTCCAAACGGAAAGGCCAACCATCTATCGTGTTGTTTTTTGGGGACGGGGTCCCCTAAAAGCAACAGACCCAAATTGGCAATTCAAGGTGTGCCTAGTTTGGAGTATCACATCTTGATGTGCGCCTTCTTGAGGGTACCCTTTGTCTTTTGGTTGGTCTGAACTCTGAACAGCAAATTTCGAATTCAAGTCGACAGGTGCCACCGCAAAATCATATCTACAACACGATGTCACCTTGACGTTATGTTTGTCTCGTGTTGCTTGCTTTGCTGGCTGGCTGGCTGGCTGGCTGGCTGGCTGGCTGGCTGGCTTGCTTGCTTGCTTGCTTGCTTGCTTGCTTGCTTGCTTGCTTGCTTCTTGCTTGTGTTTGTTTGCTATTGTTGCCAATTTGGGTGTTGCATATAGAATAGGCTTTTGTTCCGCCCCACGCCCGTCCCTGGCTGCATTTGTGTACTTTACAGTTTTGTGTTAACTGTTATTTTTGTGTTTGTTGCCCCCCCCTTCCAGGGTTTTTGATTTTTGCGCACGTCACTTTTTGCACGTGTGCATTTTGTCCAACTCAGAGATTGCTTCAGGCCGTCATGATGGATCATAGCTGTTTGGCGACTCAAGCAGGCTCTATAGCAGCTTTCCTGAGGCAAACCATGCCTGCAGAACACGCAGTTATGGGCATGTCTTTTTATAGGGGACCCTCAAAATGGGTGGTTTTCCTCTTGGTGTCCCTTTAAAATCACAAACAAGGGGGCCTCAAAAACTGCCACACCCATTTATGACAACCGCAAGTGGACTGGTCTATGAGAAAAGCATTGGACCCCTGTGCATGGGTAAGCGCGGTCCAATGCAACTGCCACTCTCAGAGCTCCGAAGAAGGGAGCTGAGGCAACCCTTGTTTGGCTAAGCTTGCGTCATTGTCCTTGGAATGATTCAGCGTTTGTTGGTTCTGTTCGTTGCCGCTTGGCAGCTGGACAGGTTGTTTTTGTTGGCCTACCAAACAGCTGGGAAGTTTAAGAGGGGAGACTGATGAAAGCGATCCCATGAACTGGAGAGGTCCATTTGCTGTTGACTCGGTCGCTATTTGGACTGTGGAAGTTTCACAGCATGCTTCCCCCACACCGCACCTAGTAGCAACACAAGCTTGAGCTTGCCCAATACCTGTTGGCGTCTCAAAGGGAATGTGGTTACACTGCTAAATATCATTCTTTGGGTTGGCAACGCAAGCAAAGCTTCCACACCATAGCCCCTGCCAACGACCGAAGCAGACTGCGGGTTCAGGTGGTGACGCAAGTCAGCGCCTTCCATGATGCCTTCGTGGACCGTGATGCCAGCCGAAGCCTGGCATCTGTTTCCCTTCTGTGGGCCTGGGCTTTTTGAGAGTACCTTCTTCAGGAGTTGCTTAAAGGGACGCCAAAATTTTCGGAAGTCTGGACACGCGTCCTCTGGATTTTGCGGGTTCCCCAGATAAGCGTGCCTTCTCAAGGGCTGGCATGTTGGTTTGTCAGCCTTGGCTCTGGCCTGATACTTTTAGGCATTACCAGTTCAGAGGCATCACCAGCATCAAAGGCATAACCAGCATCAGCAGCAGCACAGGCATCACCAGCAGCCATGGATGCGGATTTGCACGTCACACATCGCCAAACAAAACAGACTTAGATTTTTCTCCGGGCCTTCTCCGGATTTTGCGGGCCTTCTCCGGTTTTGCGGGCCTTCTCCGGTTTTGCGGGCCTTCTCCGGGTTTGCGTGCTCCCCCAACCTCTGCGTGCTCGCTCATTTTTATTTTTATTTTTCAAAAAAAATACAAAGTTGAGAAGGCACTGTCCACTTGGGAGAAGCCTATGGCCAAAAATGAGGTACCTTACAGTAAAAACGCACATCGGCTTTTCCCCGGGGTATCGTGCCTTCTCAGTTTTTTTTCTTCTTTTTTTCGGGCGGTTCCCCCCAGCCGGTTCTGCGTCGCCCTGATCGGATCCCCTGTTTGATTTCTTGGGGATCCTAGCTGGTTTTTGACCACAGGGAAAACAATAGGGTTCCATTTCCAGTCCCAGGGGCCCAGATTGCTTGTGAAACAGCGCCTAAAGAGAAAGAGTACTCAGTGCGTTGAACCTTCGTGTGAGGGGGGACAGCTGGGAAAGCAATCATCAAGTAAATTTATGTCTGGGTGTAGCGCCCTTTAGAGCGGTTCCAAGAATTGAGAAGGCATGGTCCCCTGGAGAAGCCTCGGGGATGGGGGTCCAGACCCTCGATTTCAAAAGGACAACAAGAACATGGGTCTCCTATTTCGAGACGTACGCATAGATTGACACGCCTTTTTGTGGAGAGGGTATCATTTGGCTGGCTTTTGGGAAACCGAAGGGGCCCATCTTCTGCGGGGACAAAGCTTGTTTCCTGGTCATTTCGGTCGCCATTTTGACCGCCCTTGGAGCCCCACTCTTCAGACGCCTGAGGGTCAGGAGCTTACCCGGTGGATCACAGGCACTTTCCTTTCAGTTTTGCGGGGAGCCGTTTATCGGAAAAGGGATCATGGCGTTATCAGATTAGGTCTGGAGTTGTGCACAACCCACTGACATGTGTAGTGATGCCTGCACAGAAACATCTGGCGTTGGAAGCATATTTGCGCCTGTGTCCATGTAGCGGAACACCAACATGGTGGCTTCCCTGTTGGTTTCCTTCTAAACGAACCTGAAAAGGGTGCCCTCAAAAAACACACGCACAGTAAAGCAGACTCTCATGGGCTTATCAAGCTCTTGGGTAGCAGGTGCCCCCCTTATGTGCCTCTCAAATACGCTCTTTCCCGTTCTTTGTAGCAAAAAACCTGGTTTACCGCCTTACATGGGCGGGGATCTTGGGGGACACCCTGCCACCCACAAATATGGTGCCTCTTGAAATTTAGCTTGCCCAGATTCACCCAAGCTGATAGCAGAGCTGGTGATATTACGATGTGTATCGATTTATTGTCTCGTGAGTTATAGTGTCGTACTTGTTCTATACCCGGAAAGTTCAAGTCCCCATGAGATTCCACAACAACTAGCCCAGCGCCTCTTTGGTATTTGGGGGATTTCCCGGAGCTGATTTCATGGAAATCAGCCTGGGGACTTGCATGTGGTTGTAGAACATAGGATTCTGTGATACCAAGCGAATCCCCAAGTCATGGGAATAATCGACATCGGCATCACTTCGTTGATGCCTACGGACTTGAATGGGGATCCTTGCAGTACCCTTTTCAGCCTTTTTTTTGTGTCTCCTTGGTGAGTTTCCTCTAGGATTAATACTTAAGAGGCTAATATATTGAGAGTGTTTTGAAATAGGGGACACCAAAAAGTTTTAGTTTTCGCTTGGTTTCGATGCAAGCCCACTCCCAAACTTGTACCCTCAAAAAGGGCACCCCAACAAATAGGACCCTCACATTTGGTGGGTTTTTCTTTTATTACCCTTTACCATAATTCCGAAAAGAGTTGCGAGCCTCAGAAAGACCCACCCACATGTCCCTTTACCGAATGTGGTTTTACCGCATGTCGTTTGTTGGGCTACCCGTTGTTGGGTTGCGCTGAAACCACTTTGTTGGCCGGTTTGCTGTTTTCTCAAAGCCTCAATTTAGGGAGCAACTCCCACCGAGGATTGGCCTTCGGCATCATGCAGGAGCTTGACCCCAACGCGGAGCTCCAGTGGGTGACAGGGGGCCACGCCAGTTCCCATGTAGCGGCGAGGTATCTCTTCCTGGGCGTCCTGGTTCAACTTGGCGTGTGTGTGTGTGTGTGTGTGTGTGTGTGTGTGTGTGTCTGTGTTTTATTTGTAAGAGGCCACCCCCCAAATGGTGGTTTTCCCTCTTGGTTTCCTCCCACATTACCCTTGCTGTTTCATCAATTCTCCTCGCTTCATCACTTGTCCACCGCTTTCCTGAGCAGACATCCCAGGTTTGGCGCTGAGGGCAAACCGTGTGAGAGACGCAGGACCCTTTTTGTTGTATCACTTGGTGATACATGACAAATGAGCAATGGCCAATATGGGGGTGTCGCTTTGGTTTCCACCAACACCTGGTTGCCTGGTTGTATTGTTCCTTGTGGCAATATCGGCACATTCATATACGCCTCCATACTTTCAACGTGCATACCTGAAGACGGTGTTGACATGCCGCCTTTTGAGAAAGGAATCTTGGAGGGGGCAGCCACTAAAACTCCAGGAATGCCCCCCAACAAAATCAGGCGTATAGCGTGACTTGGTCGAACAGTCTCTTGAACCACAATTGCATTGCAGACAGCGTTCCAGGCTTTGCCCCCTGGTCCAACCTTGAATAACATTTGGACACTTTAGAAATTGTCAGTGTCCTTCTGTAGTCTTCAGAAGCCCTGCTGTCCACTTTCATGTTGCCGGAAACGGGTGACTCACTTATATAAGCTATGAACTAGGTTGAACATGTTTGGACATGTTTAGGTTCAGTATGGACTAGAATCAATTCATGTTCCCATTTGCTGGAGGCAAAGTAAAATGGTGGACCTTCTTTTGGTATGAACAGGCCACCCACCATTTTAGGAACCTATTTTCGGAGATTTCCGCAGGTGAGGTAGCTCTATGGGATGTGTTGACTGAGGCTCCGTCATCTCCGCGCTGGAGCGCTTGCCTGGGCCAGGCGGCGACCACGACGCCGCACCGGTGCAACTAGTGCCGTCGCCAAAACGCGCCGCGAGCGCCCCTAGCGCTTTGTTGGCCAAGTTGTAGCCGGGGTTGGGCAAGTCGTTGCACCCGGGGATCCATACTTTCTGGATATGTTTAAACTGGAAACCACAGGAAACCGCACATATTTAGGGCAGCCGGTTTTTTGTGCGTGTTTCGCAGTCTTTTATCACCACCTTCTTGGCCGACTTGAAACGCGTGTTTTTTGTCGGCGTCATGATTCAGGAAGTCCAGTGGGATCCTGCAAATGGACTATGGACGTCCAACACAAACCTCAAGCAGGTGGTTTGCACACCATTTGACTTTTTGTTCACCATGGGACCGTGCGGCTAGCCCAACCCTGGTAGCCCAGGGCACTCCGGCTATTTCGGTTGCAAGCTTTCCGGGCGCAATCTGAAATCAGTTGGACTGGGTTGAACTATGGGGGGCTCGGCCTATGGCCCGAGGCTCTTTCGCAGAGAAAGCCCTGAGCCTTCACATGCCAGGGTTTGTTTGGAGTATGGAACCCCGTCATGTGCCGCTTTTTTGCTCATTTGCCCTTAAAGACTTAAAGTCAGCTAACCCTGAGTTTGTGGTTTGGATTGGTGGTTTGGGGATTTGAACTACTACCCTTTTTGTGGAGGGTAAATGGGAAGCCACCCCGAACCACCAATCCAAAGCATCAATGAGTGGGTAGCGGGCAAAGCGGATCGAGCTTTCGACCCGCGTCCTTTCGGCGAGCGAGTTTATTCAAGGGCTCTCAAAGAGACCGTGCCGGCAGAGTGACGCCTTTGACGAAGACGGTGCTCTCGCGGGATTGCAAAAGCTCGGCGAGTTTGCGCAGGTGTGGTCGGATTGCTCCCCTGAGACTGACATGGAACCCAAAGAGGGCGTCCCTCAAAAAAGGAGATTCCTCTACAAGCCTTTTTCTTGGTTGCATGAATCTGATGGGGAGTATGGAGATTACTGGACGAGATACATCAGGATACCTAGCCCAATTCACTCAGTAAGTGCTGCAAAAGAAAGTCCTCCTTTTGAATGAGGGTTGTGGGGAACTGCAAGACTTCACTGCTGTTCGAACGCTGTCCCGGCGCGAACGCATACCCAGGAGCTCTTTCTGAGGCCAGGGGGTTCTCTGGAAAGTTGCCGGTTCACAGAGCAGTACCCGGTTTTGATTCGCGTCTTTGCGTCACCTTGCCAGCAAACGGTAGTACCAGCGAGCATCACACAGGGTTATCCCACCAACTTGGTTTGGTGCGCAGGTGCCTTTTGGACGATCTTCGCACTAACCCATGTTTGGGAGTGTGGCTCTGGTTTGGAAGCCCTGGCATTTCTTTGCATACCTTTGACAAGATTCACTCAGCTCTGTCTATGTTTTACCCCTGGGATTGCATTTGGTAGCAATCAGTCAGCACCTTGGCCCCCAGTAGTGCCCCACCCCTGTCCTCAGAAAAGTCAAAATGTGTGCCAACTGTACCTATTGGATGGGTTTGCCAACTGATTGTTCGCTATGACTATCTTCTAGATACAGCCTTTCTATCTTGGGTGGTTTCCCTGGAGTGTAATCCCAGCGTGCACCACCAAGGGCAGGCTATACCGGCCTTACTTTTGTTGCAAGGGAACACATTTCAGGGCCGAACCAGGCGCCCCTGAGACAGTTGAAGTAAACAGAGCGCACACATGCTGCTTACTCTGGAAGGCCACGTGCTCCATCCCTCAGACTCTTCTCTTGCAAAGGGAGGCTGTGCACTTCCATGCGGTACTTTGCGGGGGAGGCTCGCTGCCCTTTTCAGCGTTGAATTGCAAAAGAGGACACCCACATCAGACGACCGGCTACCCCCTCGTGCTTTTGGCACACGCCCAGAACCCACCCAAAACCCACAGCTGCAAGGAGCCCCGGAGGTGTCGAGCAAGCCGCTGGAAGGCACGTGGGCTGCTTCTTTTTCTTTCTTTTTTTCCAGGCAAACCCTTGGCGATTTGCATTGGTTTGGGGATCGAACCTCTGGGTCTTAGGGCAAATAGGGAAACCACCTCTAAGCTCGAAGCCACCTAGCCATTCAAACCCACAATTTAGGGGGAAGCGGAGTTTTCCTTTCTTTGGAGGGGTGTGCCTTCAAATGTCCAACAACCCAATGGAATCCACTGGGGGTCTGCGCTTTTTGTTTGGAATGATAAAACCACTCACTTTGTGTGCTTTTGGCTTGCTCCAATTGCTTCCCCGGCAGGGCACCTGGATCATGGCTCATGGTTGTGGTCCGGTCTCGAACAACCCGAAGATTTTTGTGAAGTCATTGTGGGCCTGGGCGATCCCAATCCTCGACCAACACCTCAAAGTGGTGCCCTTCTCTCCTTTTCTTGGAGTCTCCGTGCATCTTTACCAACAAAGAAAAACGGGGACACCCAAAAACCTGAACGATCACGACCCCATGGTCCAAGGGCAATGGAGTCTCCACGACAGAAACCAAGATCAGCTGATCCGGACCTCGGGAGGCCGCAGCCAGGACCTGGAGCGGCCCTTCGCAGCCTGGCAGATCGATGGAGCGACCCCCCTGAAAACAAGAAAATGAAAAAGACGAGGACCGCCGTGTTGGTTTTTAGGAGGAATCTCCAGTTGCCCCCTGCTTTTTTCTTTTCTCGGATCAGGTGGATTTGTGGGGGGAGGGGGGGGTTCGTGTGCTAGAGAATATTCCGTGTTTATCGTAGAGCCAAACTCCAAAGAAACAGTTGTCACTGAATGTCACTGGGACCTCTTTGGATTGAAACCATTTTGGAGAAAGCCCACATGAGTTGGGGCCATTTCTTCTTTGGTTACGCGGCCCCGATGCCTCGTTTCTCAAACTTGGCCAGGGATCCGCTCATCAACGTCATCAAGTGCTTATTTTCTACCTGTACTTGAGTGTTCATGTTCCAAAAAGATTGAGAAAGCGGAAGTTCTAAGCATCATTGAGACTGCAGGTATATGCAAAGTCTATAAAAAGCGGCTAAAGATTTCCTACACTCTTGATGTTTGAAAGGCGGTCGAGCCTGGGGCAGTCTATTCGCCACGGCTGGAGAACAATTTCCATTTTCTCCTCAACCATCAGGCTCTACAGAGCTTGTCAATTGCCAGCTCCACCACCCACTCAAGTGGTTCTTGAGTGGGTGCAGCCCATGTTTGCACTTGCCGGACGCCACAAGTAGGCCAGGCCCCCTGTTCAACAGCCTACGACTCTAAGCAGCTTCGAAAATGACATGAGTTCCCAGCACCTAGGGGTTCGGTCAGCCAACCCCGAGGCTGCCTTTCACTGCTGCAAAGTTTAATACGAACATCCCGAGTTTCTTGTTATTGACTCATTCATTTCTTTACGGCAACAGTTACCTGGGATGTTTTTGTCGCATGTATTCACGGCCTTTGCTCAAGGTGGTTGAGTTTCCTTGTTGGTTTTAAAGTAAATGTGCGGGCTGGCAATCATGGGATTTCTTTCTTTTGTTTTCCTTGCACAGTAGGTGAGCGCCTGAGCATGAGTTCTCTATACAGGACATCAATGAACAAAGAACCTTAGACAAACACACCAATACCAGGCGACGCCTGACCGCGGACAAGGTCTTGCCGAGTCGGTCGGCGCTCGATTCGCCCAGATGCGCTTCTCGGAAGCGCCGCGGCCGGAGGAGGTCCGGCCACTTCCGGTGCTGCGGGAGGCGCCGGGGCTGGTCTTTGGTGCAAAATGAAACTAAGAATCGCCCCATATTGGCTGTGGATGGACAAAATTCCTGCAGCTCGTATGTGGTTTGTGTCAATATTTGTGGGGTTTCATCAGCCTTAGGTACAGTGTCCACTCGCGGTAGGGTGCCCCAAACAGTGATCCGGATTCCCAGGGAGGGGGGGCCCTCCAAAAAAAGGGTGAACCACCCCCCTATAAATCAACCGGTTTATTAATCCGGGGTTACCTCGAAAAGGGACGCCCCCCTGGTAATCATCCAGGGATCGATTAAGCTGAGGTCAACATCGGGCCTTTTGGAACAACTTGACTTTTCCACTGCACCTATAAAAGGGTACATCAGACCTTGCCAGGGGGGAAGAGCAACCCAGTGGCAGGCCCAGACCCCACACACATCACCTGTCGGGTGCCCGCAAGGCTACAAGGTGAGCTGTCCTTTGGTCGGGGTGTCGTTTTAGGAGGGCATACAGGGAGCCTAGTGGCCCAGGCCAGAGCTCATGGCAGCTCTGTTTTGTTGCGCGATCCAGGAGGTCTGCAGTGGTGCTTTGGAGACTTGAGCGCCTGCTGGCGTTTGTATACGGTAAGAAAACCTACGTTTATGTCAGTAGTTATATATGAACCAGAATCTGAACATGTGATTTCTTGTGTACTCCTTTTTGTGTGGGCCAATGTGTTTTTCCTTGAGAAGAATCCAGATGTTTTCAATCAACGACCCTGCCCGGAAGATCACAGATGTGCCCCACCTTGAGCTTTTGCTTCAAAGTTGTGACATATCATTGCCTGCGCTAAGAAACACGTAGTTGGTGATTGTCTGGAATGTGAGGCACCTAAGAAGGAATATAGTTCGGTGATGCCTTCATTGTATGTTCCCCGACTTGCAACACTCCACTTGACGGCTATATCAAGCGTCCCTTGTGACACTTGTGGTTTCCTTTACGGGAATCGCAAGGTAAATGTCCAGTCCCCTGTCTCGCTTCCTGAGTTCATGGACTGTATACTTTTTGGGAGACCATGTTAGTAGGAAACAACAAGTTTAGACTATGTTTGGCTTATCCACGGAGGAAGTAAGCTGTTGTTTCCCTGCCGAGAACCAGCAAGTCTTCGCCTTGTGGTTGGTACGGGTCCTGAAGTTAGGCACTCATGACTGTGGGACCATGGCCATGGTCCAATCGTCCATATTATGGGTGTGTTATCTTTTTGCGGGGGAACCCCTTCGGGGTAGTTTGTATGGGAAAAGGGGCTTTGACCTTAAAAGGAAGCCGGGCATGTTGTAACTGCCTATCATTTTTCCAAAAGAAGGCCAAAGGAGATGTGTATTTTGTAACTTTTCCAGGTGCCCTATTTGGGTGTGTTTTTGTTAGGGTACCATTTTAGGGTTGGCTTCAAGGGATGCCTAGGAAAGCAACCATGTTGTGGTCCCCTTCGTTTGAGACACCCCCCATTTGGGTGTGTGTCAAAATAGGGGGAACCCCAAAGTTGGTGGTTTTCCCTGTTTGCTTCTTCCCCAGCTCTGAACAAATGGTACCCTCAAAAATTCCCAGGTGCTGCTAACAGCACTTCAGGCCTTCAAGAAGACCCGCGAGAAGTGGACCAAAGACCAGGACTGGAGCTACGTCGGGGAGATGTGGCCTGGCGCACACACACAGGGCCGCGGGCCCGCGTCCGATTCGGTGGATTTCTCCAAGGAATCGGTGGGGTTTCTCGAGGGTCCATTTTTTTAGAATCACCCAGGCGTTTTTTCAGACGCTTTTGGCTTTTTCCGGGGTTTTGGTGGTCAGCAGCTTTTGGTTTGTCTCCCTTTGTTGGGAAGTGCTAGTTTACCTTGCTGTCCCCGCCAACAGGAGCTTCCTGTCAAAATGATTGTATTGTCCATGTATTTTTTGCAGCGGTCAAGCGGGTGTCCCTGTCCAAGCCCTCCATGGCCAGGACATTTGAGAGAGAGGCTAAACTCTCTGGCGCAGAGACATGTCTTCGGTGACGTAGTGAAACCCCAAGACTTCAGTAACAAACTAGTGAAACCTCAAACGATAGCTTCCCATTGGAATTGGCCCAAAGTAGTCTTGGGTTTTGCCACTTCCTCATTTGTACTTGGTAGGTGGTTTAGGTTTATCCCAACTGCTGCAAACTGTTGATTAGTGGCCTTAGGTTGCGGAGTATTCGACAAGACTTGACCATCCAGATGTTGCGGGATATCTTCGTGGTCGAGGCCGGCGACGGCTGGCTTTTGCCAGTGGAAGTGGATGTTTAGGCTCGGTACCCGTTTCAGGTCGATTTAAAGGGAAGGCAGCTTTTTTGGGGGTCCTTCGATTTTTTTCACATACCCTAACTGTGCCTAGGTGTTTTTTTTTCAGTTGCCTTGCCTGCCCAAAATCGAGCCCGGATTGAGACGTTTGAAGTGTCAATGGCTGCCTGTGTTTCATGGTTGATCGGGCCAAAGTTTGGCAGTAACCCCGTGAAAAAAAGCAGGCCGCTTCCATTTTGTTCTGTTTTTGAGGGTAACCTTTTGGAGCTGGGTTTCAAAGGACACCACAGGGAGAACCACCAAAGTGTTGGGCGGGGGTTGTTTGTTCGATTTGCTTTATGTCATGTTTGTATGTGGGTGCAAAGATGGTCACGGCAGTTGTGTTTTCTCAAGTGGCACCAGAAACATGAGCCTCCCTCCAAACAAACGTGGTTGACCTTGCACTGACTGGTAAGCCAAACTTTTGATGTCTTGGCGGCTGGGACCAAAGCAAAAGCGCTCCAAACCTGGGGTGGAACCGGTAGGTTTGGCGAACATGAGCCAAGCTTGGGGATTGTCAATGCCGATGTATACGTTGATGTTTAGGAGAATTGAGGAGGGGCTCCCGTCGTGAAATCGGGTCACAAGAGTTGGTAGTTTGAATTGGCTGTTCGGGGATTTGAGCGGCAGGTGCTTGAGCAATCCGAGGGGGAGCCCCCCTAACAACACATGTTGCACTTCAGTCGAGCGAAAGCAAACAGCTCAAGCTGGGAAAGACAAAGGTGTATAATACCCTCTACTGTGAATTGTTTAAGAAAAGAGGCTGTTTTAGCTTTGTTAAACCCGGGTTCTGTCAGCGCCCGGCTCTTGAAGGTCCCTGTTCACACCGGTTTTTGCGGCGCGACCAGGGCGAATTCAATTTACCCCATTTGCGGTTCCAACACACGCTTTACTTTCCCACGGGGAATTGTGCCTTTCACTTACCCTGTTAGTTGCCTGTTTGCTCATTGATTTGACCCTCAATCAGTTCCTGACTCCATTGAAGCTCTGGGCAGACATGTTTTGGGAATGCTGGACCGACTCGTTGAAAGGCGGCGGCAGCCACAAGATTTGGTTTGGTTTGGTGGTTAAAAGGGACACATTCAGAAGTCAATCTTAGGATTTCTCTCAAGAAGTCCAGAATGACTGTTCTTAATAACCAATTTGTAGAGAACAAATGGGACAGGCTGTCGTGCTTCAACAAAAACTGTAGCCCTTCATATTTTGGTGCTTTCTTTTGGTCCCTTGGAGTGACGAAGATCATCCGCACCGAGGGGTTCTGAAGAAAGTTCCCTCTCGTCGTTTACACATCCTCTTTCGGCCAGATTCACACGGGTTTCTCCTTGGTGGCATGTCTCACCCATTTCAGGGCCAGCCAGTTTCGTGACACCTCAGATTGTGATTTCCCTGCCTTGGCTGCCCCTTGTCCCACGGAAAACCCTTGCTTTGCAGGGAACACAATGGAAAGTGGATTAAGAGCATCTCCACGGTTTCCTGCTGGTTTCGCTTCAAAACCATCCAAACAGGGAACCCTCCAAAAAGGACACCCAAAAAAGAATCGTTCCATGCCCAGTGGGGGGCTTCTTTTTTTGTCAGGTCCATGAGTACTGGGCGCAGCTGGCATTGGAGGTCGGAGACTTCAAGCAGTTCGACCAAGCAGCCGTGCAACTCCAGGCCTGTTCTGCGTGTTTTGTTTGACTGTTTGCTTCTCGCGCCCGGAGAGGTGGATATGCGTTTTCTTAGGTGTTGTTTTTTCCGTCCCAGGCACCCAGCCTATTTGGGTGTGACCCATTTTGGGGTTGGCTTGAAGGGAAACCAAAGATTTGAGACTCATTCCGCAACCTGGTATTTGTTTGGTTCTTACGGTAATCAGCTACCCCTTAGGGACCTGGAAATAGGTGATCACCTTTTCGGGGCCATGACTAAACATGGCCCAAATTGGAGAAAGCAAAAGGTTAAAAGGTGGATTTGCTTTGCGGTGAGGAAAATAAACACGCCCGGCTTGGAGCCTGTGGAAAGCAGCTTAGCTTTAAACTGGGCCGATTCATCGATGCTGGTTTAAGCCCCCAAGAGCATTCTCAGCTGTATTTTCGGGACACTTTGGGGAATATTTTGGGATGATTCCCGATTCCCAGCCCACCCCCAGAAAAAAGCCAGCGGGATAAGTAGATAGTGTGTTTTGTTAGATGAACCTTTGGCTGGCTTCTGGTATGGAAACCAAAATTTAAAAGTCAATTGTAGGGTGTCCCCTAATTGTGAGACACACCCCTGTGGGTAACGGGTATGTCCAAACAGCGGAGTTGTGCCATAGTCCCCGAGGGACAAGGGGGCCCTCAGGCCTATTACGCCGACCCCACGCTGGAGAAAGGCGCTACCAAGCTAAATGCGGCTCGGCCTGAGTCCTTCGGCTTCGCTTGAAGTCCCCAAAACTGTGTGTGCACGTTTGGTCTTTGAGGGTATGCACCTTAGTTCACAGGGAAAAACAAGAGAAGCAGCACCATTTTGGGTGCCGCCCTAGTTTGAGACAGAAATCTTGGATGCAAGCCACGTGCAAGCCATGATATCGCCTCAACAAATATTCCGTGCTTCGTGGAAACCGAACCCTTGGGTCCTATCCATCCCTGAAGCCCATAGGATAAGCCGTTACTTGTTTTTGGACGCATCTCCTGGAAGATCATACCTGATGCGACCTGATGCCAACTAATCTAGATGGTTCTTACCAACATGATCTTTGGCGCACAATGGGCTCATGAGTGAGGTACTGATGAATCCAGCAAGTCTTCGCTCACCAATCTTAGATACTGGTGGATCCTAAGACTAGTTTGAGAGTTTTACGGAATGGACCCCAGACCTGTCCCAGGAAGTCCTTGCGTGGCGGCTGCTGTACTTGACCGTGGAGGCATGTGTGCACTTCTGCATCGTTTGGCAGCCACCCCCGCTCCAACTCCACGGTGACCCCCCCCATGCATATGAAACCTTGAAGTCGCTTCAAAGATGGGAATCAACGTTATTTCCCGCTTTCGGGTTCAGATCCCTGGTTTGGATTGGTGCCTTAGGGCTTTGAACTCCTATGTCCTTCTGAGGGCAAAATTGCATTTTTTATCCAAACCCAGAGTTACGCTGAGATCAGTCAGGGCGAAGGCATCGCCACCACCGAGTTTCTGCGTCGCAACGCCCAGCGACTCGACTTCAGCGTCCCCGTGGTGAAGCTCGCCTGGAGGCACCTGGAACATCCTGACTCGCGGCTTTTTGGGGTCGCGCCGTGTGTCGGTCGCGTCTCCTTGTCGCCCATGAAATGAGTTCCGTGGCGTTTTAGCACGAATTGCCTTCAGCCGTTGAACTGGGATGTGGCTTAGATCTATGTATTTATATATATATGGGGGTTGATCAAAAGGTCCTTGCAAGGAGTTATGTATTCGCTGACCATTCGTCTTGGCTTAAATCCCTCCGCGAAAGATCGGCGATGGAGTTCGCGAAAGAAACTTATTTTTTCGCGAAAGATTCCGCGTTGGATTTTTGGAGGCATGCCTGTGCACTTACATATTTGCAGACCCCGCTCCCTTGTAGAGGGAGATACGCAGCACCTACACTTGCATTATTGATTCCCTGCCTGTGTTGGGAATGGCGCAAATCAATAACGTTGGCTGGGCTATTTTGGAGCAAGTTTCGCGAAAGATCCGCGAAAGACCGGCGAAAGGCCAGGGAGCCTGTTGCAAGGTTCCGCACATCGCCGGCAAGCGCAAGTGGCAAGGGCGAATGACGGTGACTGCTTGCACTTAACACTACGTACTGCACGCATGCGGCTATCCTGTGTGCAAGCATAACTGCAGCAGCCACAATGGCTCCAGAGCGCATGCTGCAAACAAAAGGGCAAACAAAAGGGCTTGGCGATGGAGTCGCGAAAGATTCGCGAAAGAAACTTTTTTTCTCGCGAAGATGGCGTTTTCCGGAAACAGGAATATTGATCAACTGCCATATATATATATATACATATATATATATATATGGGTGCGGGTCAAAATTAAACTATCAGGCGACTGCAGGTTTCAGTCCATGTGTCCATTTACCAGGGTTCCCAAAACGGGTACCTATTCTTGACCCACAGTCATGTATCATTCGGACAAAGGTTTATGCTTCTTAGGTGTTTTGCAAAGACCTTATCCGGTCAAGCGCGGGCCGGATTAACAAGCGCTATGCGTGTGGCAGGCGTGGGGTAGTCAATTATCAAATCCTTTTGCATTTATAATAAGACAAGGCTTCCAGGCGTCCAAAAATGACTGTGAACCTCGATGCGCAGGATTCCAGGGGAAATGGGCTATAGTCGTTGTGAACTTTAAGAAGCCCAACTTTTGTTTGACCAGTGCACTGGTTGTGTGATTGGTGTTTGCCTTTTTTGGGAAAGGAGGTCTGGTTCGGATACGTTGTTTGTTGTGGTGGCTTCTTTGGTTGAGCTCTTGGCACGTAACCCTGGCGTGGAATCCTGTTTTTGAGAGCCACCGCAAAGCTCTACCAACGAGATGCCCCGAGCTTGCCAGTTGCCTTACAGGTATGCAGCTCTATTTCTTCGCCATTCTTGGGTCATGTTGTTATTATTTATCCCACTTGCCGAGGCAAATCGACCTTTAAGCTTTTGTTTTTCTTGATTTGCTCAGTTTTAGTCATGGCCCCCAAAGGTGATCACCCTGTTGTTTGCTGTCTCACCCCGGAGCTCATGGACTTTAAACGCTTTGGGTAAGCCATGTCTGCGGAAGCCAATTTAGACTTGTGTTGCCAAATTATTTGCTTCTCTGGTTCTGCTATTTTCCGAACCCCGGGCTGCCAGAATTAGTCCATCTCTGGCTGACAGAACACGTTGGCAAGCGGAGGGTGTGGGCCCCACTGATCAAGAATCGAAGTGTACAACCACCCCATGTATCCACCCATTTCAGAGGTAGAGACCAACCATGCTTCTCATGTTCAGCATGTTCCTTTTGGGGGTATTGGCGTAGCGGAAGCCGCCTTAGATTGACACCCGTTTCCCTTGAAATGTGAACGCTCCCCCCTGGGCCCCAATGCAGGTTCTCAGCAGATCGATCAAAGAGCAAACGCTGTTTTGACGGAGGCCCCTCAAGTTTTGCTTTTTGGACATCAAGTGTCAACTTTACAGGAGCCTATCAGTCAATTCGTGCTGAGGGTGAGATTGTTATTTAGGAACACGGACTTTAGAGGTGGAGTCTATTGGCTTTCTGTTTGCTTTTCCATAAAGCATGTGGGGCTTCCCTACGGTTTCGTGTGACTTGGGACTTAACCGTGCGTTTTGTTGGAGAGTACGCTTGCTCTCGTGACCACAGAGAAACGACCCGCAGGGGGCAGATGCATTTGAACATCCATGGACGTCATGTTGCTTCAGACGCTTGATTGACCCAAACCTGTCAACGCGGACTTCGAACTTCCGCAACTCAAGGTGTGCAGCAGGTGCTTTCAATCCAGGAGAGAGGCCCACCCAATTGAGCACCCACCTCGTGAAACGAGCTCGGAGCCAATCGCTTGGTCACAGGGGGGCTTTGTCTCCAACTCTTACCATGGCCTTAGCAAGAAAAAGGCACCCTAATTACCCGAGAAGGTGGGGATCTGTTGGATTCTGACCTCAGATGAGGGATCAACTCTGGCAGCAGCTTCTCGGTTGGTTCTCCCCACCCTCCTGGGTCGCAGCGCTGTTGGGGCTTTGACGAGATTGCTTGCAAGAGGCTTGAGAAGCGTCTAACTTAACAAGCCAGAGCCTCGTGTCAACTTGAGGTTTTCCTTGCTCACGTCCCAGACCTCTTGTGCCCCTTCATCTGTGTCTTGTCAAGGGGGTTACTTATGGATACTTTCTCCAGCATCCCAAAGGACCTTTTTCCCCTAAAAAGCTTTGGGTTCTCTGCCGAAGTTCTGGGGTGGGTTCAAGGGTGGGTTGCAGGTTCCAGGCCTGTTGGGGATACCGCCTAGGCTAATTTGTCCATGGCCACGGGAGGTTTGGGTTGCAGACGAACATTCGCTACACTCGGCCGGACGCGTGGCCAGGCTGCGCAGAGCAATCTCCCAGAGATGCCACACAAAGGCTATGCACATGCTGGCCCCCCCAAAGACGGAGGGACAGATGCCTGGCGCGAATGATGGGCCCGGCGATGTTTGCTCACCTCTTGACTTGGCAAACTTGATGTTTTTTGTTGGCGAGTCTCTGCATTGTTTCACCCAAAGCGCATCATGTGCGCGACCTCTTTCTTGACACTAAACGCAGTAGGTTAGTGATGCAAATTGGGTTATTATTGCAGTTTCATGGCCTCTTAGAAAAAGGCTTTTCACTGAAGCAGTGCGTTCTTTTCAGTCCTTTCCGGCCGACAGGCCCAGCATGTCTTCCATATTATCCCGGACTTACGCAAGAGTCACGTATCGATCCACAAGGGTCATTAAAATAAGTTTGTTAAATGGAGGCAGCCGGAAACTGTTCGTTTCAGGCATCAAGATGTCCCCTATCACAAACTCAAGTTCTGAGCTATGCCTCATTGGATTTTGTTGCAGCGATGGGCGGTACTTCCTGCTGGAGTCCTCAGGGGATGCAAGCCGTTTCTGTCTAGTGAGAAGCTTCTAGTCTCTAGGAATGGCATCTTGTCTGAGGCTTGGATTGTTTCTGGCGTGAGACTCTGAGTCGCATGGCTCGACCCGAGCAGAAATCGTCCGACATGGATTTCAAGGACTGATCCAAATCCAAGGGAACCAATAGGTATCATATACATATCAGATTGGCAAAGCCTAAGCCTCTCATTTTGAAGAGCCGGGCCTGTGTTTGGTACTCCATTTACTTCTCGGGTATGTTGCATTGCAGTCGTTCTGTGGATGGCCACATGCCAGCACCCGTTCTGAGCGGTTTGTCCCCTCATCCATCCCAACTGGTTCTTTCACAGGGAGTCCCTTTGTTAAAACCCAAAAGGTCCCAAAGCCTTTGAATGGTTTTGGTTTTCCAGTAGAATCACAAGGGTACCAGCCTACCTTTGCGATCCTTTCGATCCTAAGATTCACACCCGAGTGCGTCGTTTTTGTGTTTTTCTTTTGGCTGGGGGGGGAGTACCCTGTTTGGCTGGTTTTGAAGGACGACCAAAAGGGCAGCAGCCATTTTTCGGGGGGTCCCCCAAAATTTCGAGCTTTTGAGAGCTGAGGACAGGAGAGGATGATGTGCCCCCCGTACTGCCCGAGAGCCGCTCGTAAGACCTGGCCTCACTTGCCTTCGATTTGCTTACGTAAGAGAGGGAGGGAGAGGGAGGGAGAGGGAGGGAGAGGGAGGGAGAGGGAGGGAGAGAGAGGGAGAGGGAGGGAGAGGGAGGGAGAGGGAGGGAGGGAGGGACTAAGGGGGGGAGGAATAAGGAGGGAGAGAGATTTTGAAGCTCCTGCTGTAGGCAAACGCCTATGGCATAAGTATTGGGCTCATGTTTAACAGTGGCTCATATTGGGCCTAGGCAAACGCCCAAGACTGCGGGTCTCAGGTTAACAGTGGCCACCACTTGGGTCCTGACAAATGTCGGCGCTAGATGACCCAAGTGCCGCAGGGCCTCAATACAGTTTTTTCCATTTAGGTTTGGAGTTTTTGCCGGTTGTCACTCGTTTTCCGGCCACCATGGCCTGAGGCTTCTCAAGTTCTCGCCCACCTTTCATTTCCCCTCCCCTGCGTTGCTTTACGCAAGGAAGTGAGGTCCATTTTCCCTGTTTGTATGCATTCCATGCGCCCCTTTCCCTCGGGAATGGCCTCTGTTGCCCTGCAAGTTAGTTACGCTTGGGGCAGTGCATTTTCCTACTTCGTTCAGGGGGGCAAACAGTTTAACTTCTTGCAGGGTGTCTACGTCTGGCCCAGAACGGGGACATATAAAGGCCCTTGTTGGAAAATTGTATTCCAGAATTCAGCATTTGGGGCGCTAGCTCCCTCGCCAAGTTGGGCTTGATTTTTGAAGGGCCAAGTGTTGTTGATCGCCTGCCCCCGCCCAGTGAGGCGATCACCGTTTTCCAGTTGGCTTCACGCCGTCTTCCTTCTTACCCTTTATTCAATTTGTGGCTTTGCGTTTGTAGCTCGGGAGTGACCCTTAATTCATGGTTTTGATTGTTTTGATGTCTTGGCTCTTGACACATGGGGAGCCCCCGGCACCCTCGGCACCCTGCAAACCACCAAACAACAGCAGGGAAGCGGATCCCCGTCGATCGTCAAGGGGCTGGAGGCTAGGATTCCGAGTTCGGACAGCCCAGGTTTGCGGGCCGAGTTGCTGCGAAGGGCAGCTTGGCGATGGTTCCCTCCAATCCTTTTCGAGCCATTCCACGGCTTCAGGAAAGGAGCCATGTGGGCCTTTACCTGGGGATCCCTTTCAGGCGCTGGACATGTAAAAACTGCACACTCAATGGTGCGAAGGTGCGTTCCCACTGAAGAAGTGCGATTGTTTGGTCAAAGCAAGGCGCGATCTCGCAACGTCATGTTTTGGGAGCAAGGGCATCCATACAAATTATTGTTTTGTCCATTTCAATTCGTCGGGCGAGAGATAGCTTTTGCCCAGGAGGGTCGACACAAACCTAACCGCAGATTCTATGCATCACCTTCGGAAAAGCCAAGCTGGCAGAGCCTAGAGGAGAAATGCAACAAACATGTTGGCGTTGCATTCATGTTTATAGGTGTTGGTTTTCGTTTTCCAAAAGGGTGCCTACAAGAAATCAAACACGCGCACGTGCATGCGCACGAAGACGCACACGGAAACAAACAATACCACACACACACACAAGATCCAATTCGGCATGAAGTTGCAAAAAGGCAAAAGACACGGAATTCCCAAAACTTCCGAGAGGGTCAAAGGGGACCAGAGGGGACCAAAGGGACCAAAAGCGGACCAAGAATAGCAGAGAAAACCAGATACTTAGCTTACGTTATGCTTTCCCACGCAGCGGCTACTCAGCAGAGCCTGCAACACAGCTGCATGGTGCGGACAAAGCGGGCTGGATCGCTGGCGCAGGCTGGCTCCTTGAAACAGACCCCTTAGAAACGGGGTCGGCACACACACACACACACACAAACACCCCGCACAGCACGGGAGAGATAGGCCGCACCCATTGCTTGCTGATGGTCTTCTTGCCTTGTCAGCTACGCACGCGGGCACGCCCGCCCGCACGCAGCACACACACAACAAGCACACAAGCACACAAGCACACACAGACACACACACACAAACACACACACAGACACAGACACACAGACACACAGACACACAGACACACAGACACACAGACACACAGACACACAGACACACAGACACACAGACACACAGACACACAGACACACAGACACACAGACACACAGACACACAGACACACAGACACACAGACACACAGACACACAGACACACAGACACACAGACACACAGACACACAGACACACACACACAGACACACAGACACACAGACACACAGACACACAGACACACAGACACACAGACACACAGACACACAGACACACAGACACACAGACACACACACAGACACACAGACACACAGACACACAGACACACAGACACACACACACAGACACACAGACACACAGACACACACAGACACACAGACACACAGACACACACACAGACACACAGACACACCCACACACACACACGCACCACTCAACACACCAAGCACTCACACACACACACACACATCACACACACCACGCACACACCACACACACACACACGCATACACACACACACACCCACACCAAAGCACACACACACACCGGCACACACCACACACACAACACACATACACACACACCACACACACAGACAACACACGCCAGCACACACACACACAGACACACACGCACACTGCCATGCACACGTGCTGTGTGTTTTGACATGGGGGGGTTAGCGATCAAGCACAATTGTTGGCACCCGTCAGAAGAAAGGGGCACTCTCGCATATCAGGGCGACGGGGGTTTTTCAACGTAGCGACTCTGTCAACTCCGTTCGACCTGTTGTTTTGTTCCATGTTGGTTGTTTACCGTGGGTCCAAGGTACCAGTAAAATGGGAAGCAAACTCTTTTCCTTTCAGGTTAAAGGGTGGTTCCATGGAATCGCTCGCTTTGTTTTGATTTGTCAATGGCTACCCTGGAAATCCACGACTGTTGTTTTAACGTCCTTTGCACCGCGCCTGTTATTTGCAGCTAAAGCCTGCTTTTTGCGCCTGCAATGAGCCATGGCGTGGTATTTGATGGATTATTCATGCTGTTGCCACCTTTAGATTCTGCAAAGCCGGTTCCACCTCAACATGTCTTGACACGACAATTTCGGTGTGAACATAGCAGCTTGTGACCTACGCCAAAGCAGCGTGAAATCACAATGAAATTACTGTGAAATTGGCGTGAAAGCCTGTTTCTAGCGTGAAAGCACGTTTTCTGCCGTGAATTTTGACACCGGTGAGTCCATGTGTTTCAGCCTGTCCTTTGGTAACCCCTCCGCTTGTTTTGTTGGAATGGAGGTCAAGTCTTTGCACACTTTGGTCCTGAGCACGTGCGGCGCCCGAATTGTTCAATGATATCAGCTGAGCTTGGGCAAAGCTACTCCTGGCAAGAAACCGCCTTTCACAGAAAACACGCAAACTAAACCGTCTTTGGAACCCCAGGGCTAGAGCCGACGCAAGATGGACTTGACATGTTTGTGTGTTGACAAGGGCGATATGTGGAGCAAGCAGTAGTTGAATGCCTAGTTGACGTTCCCTAGCTCCGACCATGTCAAGGCTTGTCATTTTTGTAGGTGATCGGTCTCCAAAGCGACATTCTCAAAATGACTCTCTAAGTTCAGCAGGCCCTTGACCCAGTTGTCGAAAACCCACCATTTGTTTGATCGTTGTGTTTTTCCATTTCGGTTGTGGAGCTCTTTATTTCAGGTCCTTTGGGCAACTGAGTTAAGGTTCCTGGAGCGCCCTTCATTACCCAAATTTATGCCCTTAGCCCAGACCTATTGCGAGACCAAGTGTCGTCACCAAACTAGAAACGTACATGTTTTCCTGCTTCAAGCGTTTTTCCCAAAGCCGAGCTGACCGGTCCTCCAAGATGAAAGGAGCGAGCAGAAATCGAAGGGCAAAACCAGCGCAAATATCCACAAACCCGGATGGAAGAAGGGGATTTGATCGAGCGTTTTGCTCGGGGGGCGAGCGTTTTTTGTCGGGTCGAGAAATCGGTAGTTCGAGCATTTTTGTTTTAAACATCACTTGCTTGGCCAAACGAACGGAGTTCCCCTTTGTAGGAGTGATAGCTCAGGGGAAATATGGGTGTGTTTTTGGAGGTCAATTACCCCTTTTGGGGTGGGTTCAACATGTTCAAACAAAAGCCCGATGCGAACCAACTATTTTGAGGTCCCTGATTTTAAGGCAGACCCATCTCAATTCCTCCTGTGTGTCGACTGAGGTCAAGCTGGCACAGCTCATGGAGGTTTGCAAGGCTGGAAACCCAAAAAGCTCCACTCGAGGGTATGTTTCAACCGTAGCTATTGCCTGGATAACTTCCATTTGCTTTTCAGAAGACGTTGTTATTTTCCGCTGTTGGTTTAAAAGGGGATGTACTATGACTAGTTGTTGTTGTTTAAATCTCGGGGCTTCAGCAAATGGAAGATCGCCTGTATAACCTTTATGTAGCAAGTTAGTGAAACATGTATGGCCAACCACTTGCAGGCCTGAGGATAGCGCAGGGAAGAAACACTGCCAAGCAACAGATGGTGCACTTTTCAGGCAAACAGGGATGTGGACACCCAGCCAAGGAAGTGGTTTGCCTTGACTGAGCCAACAAGCACAACATTGATTGGAGCGTACGTAAACAGAAGTAACCCTTGATTGGAGACGGGTTGAAAGGAACCAACCTGCCACACACCCTCATAGGTCATTGAGTGCTGCAGTTATGGCAGCCGGATGCGAAGCAAAAGCCTCGACTCACAAAAACATGTTGGCACGAGGGGTGTTTTGTGAGGGTACTCTTGGTTAAAGTCTAAAGAGAAAAGAATCAGAAGGAAACCACCATTGCGATTGCGAGAGTCCTCCAATTTGATTCATACCCAGTTGATCATGAGCTCTTGGGATTGAAACCAGCTCACCCATGCTGAGGGTCCTGTACTAGAGGAATCCTTGAATTGTTGTTGGTGAAGTGTACTAATTCGTGCAGATGGCTGTATCCCACTCCCACTGTGAACAAACCGCGATGGTCGCCGTGCCAATCCAAGATTGTTCCAAGGGTAGGCCATGCCGCAAGATTGTGCGAGCGTTCGGTGCCTTGCGCATGGTGGGATATCAGACAGAACAGTTTGCCTTTAGAGCTCCATTGCAACTGGTTTGCAACGATGTTTCCGTTTGACCAGACAGGGGGCCATGAGGTTTCAGATCCGGATGTGCTGGTCGGTCATTTCAATTCAGAGCGGGTGTAGTTCAATTGTGAATCGATGCAGGCTGGCCGGACAACTTTGCCCCTGTAGTATTGACATGTTTGCCCTTTGGGCAAACAACACGCCTTTGCTTGGATGGACCCCTTTCAAAAGCCTTGACCACACGTACAAACAACCATGACTCGGATTTCTTTTGTCCAGCCACGACCTCTCGCGGGGTGGAACAGAGGGATGGGCGGTGAGCGCCATGGCAACTCCGCTCACGCGGGAAGGCCTTTTGCTGCAGCGGGCTTGGAAAAGCACGCTTGTAAGGTCTTGCTATGGTTTTGCTAAGGGAATCCGGCCATTGGCGGATGTGGCCGAATTTGTGGCAAGGTACCATGGTTTAAGTTTGATTTTCATGCCTTCAGTTGGGAATCAGGAGCATGGTCAGGTTACCCCCAAGCACACAGGTGCCTTTTTTGCAAGCCTCTTGTAAGATCTGCACGAGAATGCCCGCGATGGAATTTGAATTTGGGCTTGACCTTGACTTATATAAACACAGATCTCGCCTCACATGTTGATTCTGCTCTGGTTCGCGTAGGCAAACGGGGTCCGGCATTGAGCTACACGCGTCCGAATGGGTGCCAGGCGGTGAGGGAAAACATGTCCCGCTCGCGCCTGGAAAGCCTTGGGCTTTTGGAGGCAGGCAGTTGGGTGAAAGACGGCGCAATTCCTTTATTTTCGTTTAGACATCCCGTTTATTTAAGGTAGGGGCAACGTATGGGCAACATAGCTACTACTAGTATGCCTCCACAACGATGGTGAGCATTGGGTTTGAGGTACCCCGCAATCCCACTCAGTGAACTTTGACATCTACTTTCATCCTGGTGTGGAAAGGGAGCTGTGAACAAAATCCTTTGCCCTAGTTTGGATGTAGCGCCAGGAATGCGCTGGATGCGTTCCGTCAACGACCAGTTCCCCGGCTCACCGGTTTGGGATCCCCCGGTCCCCTCGGGTAAGTCCTCGGGTCTGACGGGTTCGGGATTGCGAAATCCCATTGCCGCTGGCTTTTGATTCATCTGCCCAAACCTCTTGAGAGCCTGTCCAATCGTCAGGGCCTTATTTGTTTGTGCCAAAGGTGTTTGAAGCCCCGTTTCGGGTTTTTCCAAAGAGGAGATTCCTTGACCCAGGATGGCATTTTGGGTTCTATCTGGGGAGTGTCCCTTTGCTTGTGAGCCACAGGGCCTGGCGCTTTGCACCGCATCCAAGGGTGCCCGTGGTGTCCATTTTCTGGGATCTGCATGCGATTATTTTATATTTTAAGGTTCTCAAGTGGACCAGAATCACTGTTTGTTTGTTGGTTTCCATGGGGACAAATTGCTACGTCGGCTATAACAACCGCAACCACTAGGGGCAACTAGCAGCTGGGGCCAAACAACTGTCGTTTTGGCATTATGGTCGAGTGTGGCCAGTCCGGTGGCTTACATGAGGAGTTCTGACCTAGGTGATCATACGATGGCGTCTCCTCTATGGCACGGGTTGCAAACCTTTGCTGAAATTGCGCTTTGTGTTTGGTTGTTTGCTTGCGTGATTCTTTTAATATTTGGTGGGCTTGTCCAGAAAACAAACACACAAAAACTTTGTGTGTTACTACTGTTTTTTAGGTTATCTCCAGAGGTTCCCAGGGCTTTACGCCATTGGACCAAGATTGGCGTGACCCTTGTGTGCAAAGAGGTTGATGCCCCTTACCCCTTTCCGAGCACACATGCTTACATGGATGGCTGTGTTCAAACGGGGCCATGCATATGAAAAAAAGGTCCTTTAATTCCCTATCACCATCAACAAGAGTCCTCAAATGTTTGTATCCACATCGCCACACTTGACCTTTCGACCAGTAAAGCTGCCGGCAGCTTCTCCGCTATGAACACTTGTTTCGACGTTTTGTCCTACGTTCATCAAGGTCCCCCATGGAATCCGAGGGAAGGGTCCCCAGACCCGACCAGGGTCTGCCACAGGCGTATTGGAATAAAGCTCAAGGCCTGGCACCCGTCACAACGGGAAGTGCCAAAGACACGTGGCCCATGGGTTCACTTTGACCGCAGTCTTAAAACGCAGGAAGAATGGTCTTGTTTTTTTGCGATTCCTTGAGCCTGAAGCGGAGGCACGCGCATTTCGTAAATAGAATACTTGCTCGGAGTTGCGCAATGGTACCTGAAGGCGATATTCTTGAGGGTGATCCAGATGCCCACAGTTCCGCCAGCGCCAGCGGTTCTAATTCAGCGGTCCTCATTCAGCGGTCCTCAGTGCTCAGTCTGGGTCGCCACCCCGGGTGCTCCGGGTCCAGACGAGTCCAGACAACGCCGCCCACGGTTTCTGCGGGCTTACGGCTGGCAGCATGTGAACCCGCTGAAGGGGCTCTACCAAGAGCGCATCAAGGGCAACTCCTCATCCGCCTTGAGGAGGGTAAAGATCTGGTTTTGACTGCTTCTTGTCATGTAGTTACTCTTTTTTGAGTTGTTCACATGAATCCATAATGAAACGTTTCTTGAATGTGAGTGTGTATGACTTCCAGCTGGTGAAGGCGTATATGCAAGGCAACTCAGCACGAAAGCACAACTCTTCTTGTGAGTGTTTTTTCCATTTTTTTGCCGCGCGCATGCCCAGTTATTGAGTGGCGTGTTCCCACTCCGAACATGTTCAGGACCAACAAGTTCCCCTGTTTATACGATGTTTCTGAGCTGGGCAGATGCTTTTGACCCATGCCAGGATGAGTCGGATCCGACTATCCAGATGCCGATTGTCTATCAGAAGGAGGGCTTTGGGCGTTGCTCAACACGGGTTCTCTGAGCCTCTAACGAGATGATATCCCCACTGGAGTTGGGGGAGGGGGGTGAACCCTGAAAATCCATTAATGGTTCCATTTTCCCATATTGTCCCTTCTGAAACGACTAAATAAATTGAACTGGGGAACCCTTGAGGTAAGGATGATCAAAACCCACGTGTAGAACGTGTAGAAGATTGTTTAGCCGCGAGGTCAAGCAATTTCTAGGTGAATTCCACTCAGAGAGGTACTCCCTTTCGCAAGAGCCCTAGCTTGGGATCTACCGCAGCTAAGAGCGAGAAAAATGGAGCCTGGCGGATCCAAACAAAGTGGCTTCAGTCGCTAATCCAAGTGTGGCATCTCATGTGGAATCAATGTTTGAGAAGAACGGGCCAGGAGTTTACTCCAAAATTCTCACTTGTTCTGCTGGCTGTCACTTTCCTTTTTTTGCAGCCCAGTCCGAGAAATCACGGCCGATGGTCCGGTTGCTCATCAACGAAAATGGCTTGAAGTTTTAGCTCCTTGGAGCACTGTTTGTGTGTTTGTTTCCTTTGGGAATTAACTTCCTGTGTTTCCGGGAAGTCGGTAGAGCTTCCCTGCGGCTACACTGTTTGGGCATCAGTCAGAACCAGTCCATCAAACCACACTTCCGATTTTGTTGAGGGAGTCCCACATTGGCATGGATACTGAGTGCCCCTGTGATAGAATCTCAAAGCAAACTGGTCCCATCTTGAGGCTCAGTGGAAAGATGGGTATGTGGGCAACTTGCTGCCATCAGGCTCGGGCTTCCACAAGAAAGCAACATACGGGTGGAAACAGACAAAGCTCCCTCAGCCACCCATCTCATCTGAAGGGATTTGACCAATTCAGGACTGCTCTGGTTTTTCCGGACGCAAGGAGAACACCCGGGTTGGACTTTTGGAAGGCAGCATCCCTTTTCAAACCAAGGCGCAAGGACTAGGTGGCCACTTCTTGTCCTTTCCAAGTCTGACAAGCAACCAGGCTGGGACTCTGAGATGGTTGCGGTGTCCGGTGTCACGTTCTGCGTGTGGCCAAGAGAAAGGTCCCGCAATTGGAGGCGCCTCAGTTTCAATCGGCTTCCAAATGGCCAGGACGATTTGGTGGACACCAAGGCCACTTACGAGGAGGCAGTCTAACCCCCACTTGTTTTGGTTTTCCGCAAGCTTGTCGGCGATGTTTTGGACGGAGGGGTTGCCCATATGTCAGACAACATGAGGGCCTGCAGCTGTTACGTCCGGCAACTTAGACGGAGTACCTTTTGGGAACAGGGTGGTTTTTTGTTTGTTTTGATTTCGTTGAAGTTTCAGACAAATTTGGTCTTGCAGCACGCAAAAAAGGCAACCATAATGAGTATTTATATACATTGTATATATATATATATATATATAATTTAGTTGACATATTCACATGTGCACAGAGACGCACGTGTACCTTTCCAGTGGCGTCACAACATGGGAGGTTCTGGGACGTACATTTGGTGCGCCACCAAGGTTCTACTCTCAGTTCCCTTATCCAATTAGTCGTGTGGAGCAAGGTGGTTTGAAGGTTAGGTGGTTCTACTAACGCTTTTATCCCGAAAGCTGGCCTCGAGAAAGGCGTTGCTTGAGGTTTGCACTTGACCTGTTCCGCTTCCTCACCAGAATCTGGAAACCTTGGAGTGTCCCACCCCCATTTGCACATGTTTGGATTGTGGCGAAGGGTTCGATCCCGCCCGTCCTAGCCACATGAGGCCAATACGCATTGCCCGAACATATCCTTTGCCGTGTTCTGTTTGGCTGGCTATGTCGATGTTCCTGTTTTTGTTTGGGCTGCTGGACTGGCTTCCCACCTTGCACGGACGCATGGTCACTTCTGGCAAGCCCAGGTTTTGCCCAGCTGAGTTTCAGTTCGCACCCCATCATATGTCAGGCCAACTGCACAGTGGTGCAGTGGCGCCTTGTCTGGTGCTTGCCTTTCTTTCGAATGGTTTTCCTGTCTTGGATATTTGTTCTGACCTGATTTAGCCAGCAAGATGTGCGACACAGAGCGGGGTAGGCCGATGCTTCCCAATGAGGATCCACTGGTTGCAGGTACCGGATGCAACGCATGAGGCGTTGGCATTTTCTTCAGTGAGGAAATGTTCAGAGGGGCTTGGATACCAAAGATTTGTTACCAACCCCGCCACCCAAGAACAAGTTGTGGATTTTGAAGGCAAATTCTGATGTTAGATCCCCCTGGACTCCACACACGCACACTGAAAGTGCAGGGTTCCAATTTTCACAAGTCTCAGCTGTCAACAACCCACCGCGAACTCGCAATCGGCGCACTCATGGGTTGACTTCCTTGCCCTTTTCGGCCGATGGGAACCCGCCAAAGGGACCCCAAGGAGAAGAAATCAGAGAGGTGGACCTGAAAGGGTCCCCCAAGCAAAAGATGGCGGATCTGAATTTAGTCTTGACATCAAATCTCAATTTAACACGATCCCAGCAAGTGGAGACGATTTGGGTGCCACTGTTGCCGGCGTTGCGTTGCTTCAAGCAGGCGAAGAAGCAGCTGGAGCCCACGCTGCTGCGGGAGAATGGCGTAGGAGCCCTGAAATGTTTTACCCACTGGGGAACAAGACGGAAATAAAACAAACGATTTTTCAAGACTTATTCATCCAGATCCCATGGGTTTCCCTTTGGTTTCTCATTGTTGTTTCCTTCGGTTGCCGTGCGGTTGTTTGGTTCCCTTCGCAACCAACCGAAAGCGCGCCAAAGCCGCAAACAGACGACGTACGACAAGGCGCATAGGCGTTTGCGTTGTTAGTGGAGACTTGCAGTTGCAGATTCCAAAAGGTATAGATTCATCCTCCAAGGAAAACTCCAAATTCCACCAACCGAAAAGAAATTTCAAGGGTTGATTCTCCATGCTTTGCACTCGCCGTTCTCTTTAGAAGCCACACTTGTTTCAGCGGCATTTGTTTGAAGAGCCTGAGAAAGGGGAAGGTGCAGCTACGTAGAGACTTGAGTGAACTTACCCACAACCACGTATAAGTGGGTGATTAGTTCCCAAGCAAATGGTTAGCTCGGGTAAGCTAACCCACCGCTAATCAACCAGTTTGTACTGTGGGGATCACTTTCATGGGCAAGCCCAAAAAGGAATAAATAAGGTACGGCTGAGGTAGCCCCCAAATCCCCTGCGCCAAACAAATCGGCAGGACAAGTGCGGATCTTCCGCCGCCTGGGGCGACAAAGAGCTGATCACCTCAACAGCTTCATGCGCAACGCCCGGAATCCCGGGACCCGGGAGCGATCCACGTGTCGAGCTTGTTTTTGATCCCAGACCTCCGGTGATGCTTCCGTTTTCGACCTGCTTTTGGTGGGGGATTTGGGTGATGGTTCCCTGTTTGGGGGTTGGTTCAAAGGGAACTAAAGGGAAATTTGAAACAACAAGTTTGGGGGGCTTTTCCTGTTTTGAGACACACCCAGATGTTTAAACAACCAGGTCCTGGTGTTTCATGATGGGCAAAACAATGGGACGTGAGCTCAACTCCAGTGGACAGGCGGAAGACCACCATGCTCTTCGAAAGACCCCTGGTCCGCTCGCATGGTTCTTGCACGGATAGATTCATGTTGCGTGAAGCCATAGCCAGACATGGCCTATGGGTCCTTGGGTTCCTTCAGGCTTCCCTATGGCCAGTGCCGGGGTTGCTCGGGTTTCTCAAAGTAAGAGTTACGCACACAGTCTTCTTGTTAGAAGAGAGTCAAATTTGTCAACGGTTGGTGTCGTTGGATAGGGTCCCTACCTGCAACACTCGGGTTCCGAAGCACCAGAAGTCGACGCACCTCCGGTTTCCTCGCTCACGCCCGCACCCGATTCGCCCAGCCCGGGAAAGTTGTCGTCAAGGCGGGGTGGCTTGGATTCGCGAACTGGCTTCGAGTGGAGATGAGTGGAGACGTGTGTGTGTGTGTGTGTGTGTGTGTTTGCTCTTCTTGCGCTTGGTTGGAAAGGGACGCCGAGCTGAAAGCCCCTCCCCGAACGCTAACATGGAACCTGAAAACGGGGATCTACTTTTGGATAAGGAGAGCCTCGGACTCTCCCTTCTTGAAATTCCTGTTGAATCATGATCATGCTAAGAAGCGCTTTGGATACTCCAACTGTGGAATTCCTGTTGCTTATTTTCACTTTTCAGCAATCTCAACACGCATTGAGTTGGTGGATTCGCTGCTCCATAAAGATAACAGACAACGGCTAGAAACATGGCGCTCGGACCGGTTCCCGGCTCGCCCAGCCAAATTCCATTGTCGCTTTCAGAAAACCTGGATCTTCCAACTGCACGGTTTTTTCTGCTCGAAAATAAATCCGTCCGTTTTCGTGAAAACTATGCCGTTTGCTCAAAAAGTGACCGCTTTCATCAACTTCGAAAGGAACAGGGACCGCTAAAAAGTACGCTTCTTGAAATTGCGCCCGTTTGCGCGAAATTGCGTCCTTGTGCGGGGAATTGCGCCCGTTGTGCGGCCTAATTGTTTGGCCGCAATCTTGCTGTTTCACACCATTGTGCACAAGGTCCCAAGAAAACGCTAGTTTCCAGAAAAGCGCGCATTTCCTCAAAAATGGCCGTTTTGCTGAAAAGAATCCGTTTGGGGGTGGGAACAGAAAAAAACATGCCAAACGAAGATCCAGGAAAGGTTGCTTTGCTTGGCGCATGCCCATGCCCTTCGTGATGCGGTTGGTCGTAGTGCGGAGCGGAGTTGCAAGCAAGCACAGCACCTGGCCGTTTTGTTGGTTACAATTCATACGACGTTGACATCACTCAGCTGGATTAACATGTATTTTGACGTATGCATGCGTCGCTCATTTACTAGACATGTCCGACCCTCTCCGATCAGAAAAGTGGGCAGCTTGCCTCAAACGAGCACAGCTCTGAATGATGAGATGGTGCCTAGATTGGTGGGTGCAGAGTGCATGAATGTGGGTGTGGGTGTGTCTGTGTGTCTGTGTGTCTGTGTGTCTGTGTGTCTGTGTGTCTGTGTGTTTGTGTGTCTGGGTGTCTGTGTGTCTGTGTGTCTGTGTGTCTGTGTGTCTGTGTGCTTGTGTGCGTGTGCGTGTGCGTGTGCGTGCGGCATGTTGGCGTGCGTGCGTGCGTGTGGGGCGCGCGTATATATGTGGGGTATGTATAAGGGCGTTATGTGGTATGCATGCAGTGGCGTATGTGGTGATGTGCGTGCGTATGTGCGTGCGTGCGTGTGTGTGTGTGTGTGTGTGTGTGTGTGTCTGTGTGTCTGTGTGCTTGTGTGCGTGTGTGCGTGTGCGCGTGCATGTGTGCGTGCGTGCGTGCGTGCGTGCGTGCGTGCGTGCGTGCGTGCGTGCGTGCGTGCGTGCGTGCGTGCGTGCGTGCGTGCGTGCGTGCGTGCGTGCGTGCGTGCGTGCGTGCGTGCGTGCGTGGGTGTGTGTGTGTGTGTGTGTGTCTGTGTGTGTGTGTGTGTGTGTCTGTGTGTCTGTGTGTCTGTGTGCTTGTGTGCTTGTGTGCGTGTCTGTGTGTCTGTGTGCTTGTGTGCGTGTGTGTGTGTGTGTCTGTGTGTCTGTGTGTTTGTGTGTCTGTGTGTCTGTGTGTCTGTGTGTCTGTGTGTCTGTGTTTGTGTTTGCGTTTGTGTTGGTGTTTGTGTTTGTGTGTTTGTGTGTGCGTGTGTTTATTTGTTTGTGTGTGTGTGTGTTTGTCTTTGTCTTTGTGGTTGTGTGTTTGTGTGTTTGTGTGTTTGTGTGTTTGTGTGTTTGTGTGTTTGTGTGTTTGTGTGTTTGTGTGTTTGTGTGTTTGTGTGTTTGTGTGTTTGTGTGTTTGTGTGTGTGCGCGCGTGTTTGCGTGTTTGCGTGTTTTGTTTGTGTGTGTGTTTGTCTGTTTGTGTTTGTGTGTGTGTCTGTGTTTCTGGGTTCATTATGTGCATATGTTTGTGAGTGCGCGTGTTTGTGTGTGTGTGCGCGCGTGTTTGCCTGTTTTGTTTGTGTGTGTTTGTTTGTTTGTGTCTGTGTCTGTGTCTGTGTTTCTGGGTTTAGTTTTGCGTATGTTTGTGTCTCGGTTTGTGTGAGTGTGTGATTGTTTGTGTGTGTAGCAATTTCCAAGAGGACCTACCCCTCCATGAATCCAAGCAGGGAAGTTCACACCAAATTTCAGGAACCCCAAGCAGACGCGACACCCGAGAGTCGTTCGGAAGCTTGGAACCTGGGCCCGTGCCTTGTGGGCCAGGAGGAGCCTCAAGAGCCGAAGCCAGGCGGGGTTTTTGCACAACAAGAGCGGCCCCTAATTACTCGAAAGTTCCGTTTGGGAATTTGTCTTGTTTCAGGGCAATGACTGGTTTGGGGTCGCTTTGAAGGAGAACAACAGGAAGGCCTACTCCCTACAGAGTCGCATGGAATCCAAAAGGGGGTCGATTTTCTCAGAGGAGTTCCCTCTACAAGTGGATGTTTTTGGAATTCCATGTGTTGCAAGTTAATTTGCAGGAGAACATGTTTTCTTTCCCCTTTTGGTTTCTACTGAATCTATCACGGGAACATGATGTTTTGTCCAAGGCACTCAAGCGAAGATTCTTTGGTCTTGCCCTGTTTTCTGGGCCGACGGTTGACATCTTACATCCTTGCCCTGGACTCAGGTAATGAAGCGTGTTTGCTGTTGCCCTTGCTTTTCCAGTTGGGGAATCTTGGTGGTTTGCGAAGAGATCATTGGGGGCTTGTCGACTTGTTGTGGGTGATGTGGGAACATGTGGGAACCAGAAGGACAGGAGTGTGGTGCACTCAAGGCCAAGCGAAGCCATGTTCATATTTGATGCAATCAAGTTTTGATCAAATAATATGATTGCTTGGACAGGCAATCATTAAGCCCGACTTTGTTTTGCGGTGGTGTTGCCCGACACTTCTTCGCCATGATTCGGCTGACATGACTCTTTCTGGGCTTGTTCTTAAAGGGCACGCTTGTAATTGGTGCTTCTGAGCGACATTTTTAGGTGGCTCAGATTGGCACACCACATGTCCAAAAATCCAATAACTTCCTGGGATGTCAAACATCACAGGGTTGGATGTGCTGCTTGCGGATTCCACCTGTTCTTTTCCCTGTTGGTCGTGTTTGCCCGTTTGGTATTTAGGTGTGGGTTCGCTAAAACTGCATCCGCGTCCTTCCAGAATCGTTACCCACTTGAGTGAAGCACGAGTCTTTGAGAACTTGGGACGGCTTTGCTCTTGTGGTGACAGAAGTGCCACAAGTTTCTGTTCCAAACTGGGCTTCAATTTTCACACTCCCCAGCCTTTGTATTTTACGTGTTCCGTTGACGAGCTGATTTGTGTTGGCGAGGCCCGGAAATTTTGGCGAAGGGAGGTGAGCCATGGAAGCCTGTTTGCCGTGTGGGTTGTGCTCATGTTGACTGAGCAAAAGAGAGGCTTCGGCTATGGGTTGGGTTTGCCCAGATGTCCGGCCCCAGATTCGTGCGCCAAGCCACTTGCCTCTGACAGGTGAAGCCCAGGCCCGGCACAGGGAGGGGGAGTCCTTTTTCATTTGGGGGTTAATTTTTCATGGAAAGCCAAAAGGAACATATTTTTTTTGGCGGGAAGGGGCTCCACTATTTGAAGACGCGCATGCCTTTTGCCTGCACCTTTTGGATTTCGGCTCTGCCGGGCCTCTAAATCGCAATCGCAATGGCGTTGGTCAGCCAAGGATTGCCCTTGTCTTCGGGGCTTTGAAATATCGAGTCTTGAGAAGCTGCTTTTGAAAGAGGTGAGGGGTTGTTCCCAAAGAACTCGGGGGTGAGTGGGTTTTTGGGGCAAAACAAGTGTCCACCGCGAAGTTTGATCAAGCGCAATTCCCTGGTCACAAGTCAGAACCCCCACCGGCTCATTGTTTGGATGGTTTCACAATTTACTTGGGTGAATCGCCCTCACACAAGACATGACACTGAAGCACGCGGACCCCTTTCCAAATGGCAGGATGCCTACCAGCACTATAGCTGGAACAACGGGAGGGGTCTTTCAGTTTGAGCCCAACCTGCGAATGTGCAAGACCTGTCTCACGTCCAGGTACGACGCCCACGGATGGTGGACTAACCCAGGCAGATTTCCCGTAGCGGAGAGCGTCCCTTCCTCGTTGGGCCGCTGGCAGGGGCTTCTGAAAGAACCTTGGACGGGGCAAGGTCTCAAAAACTGGAGAACGCAGAAGATGAAGCTGAATAAGAACATGGTACTGTCTTTATACCCCAAATGTGTGCCAAGAAAGGGTAGTCTTCCATCTACTCACATAGAACCTGACTGAGGGGAATACATATTTTTCCCTCTTGCAGGGACCCTCTGGTGAGTTCCGTGTTAGTGCATTTATCACGGAACCAAGATGTTTCTTTTGAGGAGCCCTGGCCTTTCGCGCGGAAGGCTTGCCTCGGCGAAAGCTTGCGTTTTCGGGTGCGCACACCCGGCCAGAAGCAAAGAGCTTGCGGTACTGAAGGGGGCTGCTCTTTAATTTGACCTCTTTTTTTTCAGCCGTTTGGACAGTCACTTTCTCCCCTGCACGAGCAAACGTTTCGCATGCTTTCTTTGAAAGCCCGGTGTCATTTCCAGCGAGCAATCAAAGGGTTACAGTATGTTGAGAACATCGCTTTGTTGGGCCTACTGTTGGGCTTGGTCCAGTACATTTCAGCCTTATGCAGGGTTGTTTGGGTGTGCTGCATTTCCACCCGCTGCGAACAAATAATTATTGGAATAGCAGGTGCCTCCAAACCACCGTGCATTGTTTTCAGGAAATGAGGGGGTATGCCGATATGCAAAACCCCTTTGGGTTAAATAGCAATGGAGTCGAGGGCTACTGTCATGTACCCATCCTCAATATTGCAAGACAACGATGCACGTGTGGTGGAAGATAGTTACAAGTTGAGTTATGAGATAGGAGTGCACGGAGACTGCGGTACATGGAGAAGTGCACCCAAATTTGGGGTACATGGAGAGGTTTGCCTAAACTTGGGGTGCGTGAAGCCAATTGTGGATGGCACGCTTTTAGTCGTGGCATCAATCGTTGCAGGTTTGTTTCTGCTTGATTGTTCCAAGGTGAGCTTCAATAGTGGGCACGAAGGAAGGCAGGCTGCATGCTGATCATGGTGATTTAGCCCCGACCTTCTAAACCTTTCTGGAGTTAAGCAAGCAAAGCTATAGATAGAACTTGCATGCTACATAAGACAGACTTTGGCTCCACTCATGTGCGTGGTAGACCCTTTCGTTAAGATTTACCCGCCCTCAAAAGACACACATGTCGGGCCATAATCAGCCATTCTTGCAAGTGTGGCCAGCTGGTCTGACAGCGGGGGCTTGGCCAAAAGCGGGCGTACCCTATGAGTACCCTGTCCCGGGGGAAAGATGAAGCTGACACCTGTTTAGAACGCTTTATCGGAGTTGTTCCCTTTTGGCCGGGGGGGGGTGTCAAAAGTGTTTCAAGGGATCATTTAAACTTTGCTCAGAAATCCTGTCGATGGGAGGGGAATGGGGGATTCCTGTTCTTTTTTGTCCATGCCGGACCGTGGCTGGTAGAAGCAGCGGACAACAGCAGGAAGGGCTGGCGTGGTTTGATGCCATGCGGATGCGGCGAAATGCTGTGGACCGCCATTTGGGCGAGTGTACTTTGCTAGCAGATGGCAATTGCTTCCCGGGTCCATCAGTATATGAAAACCACCCATGTTGGCGGATCCTCCAAGAGACACGCCCACTTTTGCCCAACACTGATAATGCGGGCATCTCTGCACTCATCCCGGCCATGCTGTGTGGCAATGGTCCATGGACCCATCCAAAGAGTGCAGGAGGCACAAATAAAATCAAAACTATTCCTGGGTCCCATGGAACTACGTATGATTTTGACGCTGGCCTTCATTTAGTAAAGTTATGAAGGGGTAGGGGGAGGCAGAAAGTTGCAGAAGATAAGTAAGGCTTAAACAGGAATCCTAAGCAAGCCAGGGATCAGCTCAGAATACGATCGGAAGAGGGGAAATGTAAGAGAACGGTTGTACCACCTCAAGCCAAACCAACATCAGCTCAATCAAATGATGGTAGGCTTTAATTCGCGCTTAGTAAGATTTAACAAGTTAGCATTTGTTAAGCATACATGCGAATGAACATCTATTAAACCCATTATATGAAACGCAGGATATTCAAGCACCAACATGCGTCGGAAACATCCTTTGAAACCTCCAAGAAAGGGGTACCCTCCAAACCCAAGGGCACACATTTGAGTCTCAGAGTTCGGGGATCTGGCAAAACAACCATCCCGGATGAGCTTCAACTTAGGAAAAATCAAAACATGAACCTCATTTGGCTCTTCGGACCGGGAAACAGTCTAAACCTGCATTTCGACTGCCCAACTCGCTTCCTCGCCCAAGATGGGGTTTCAAGACTTCCCGCGCCCCGAAGGCTTGACGCATGCGGGAAGGAAAGTGCGCTTCAGGGCATTGGTCGGAGGTCGAGACAGTGTGCTTGGACACTTTGATCTGCTTTTTCCACTTTTTGGGGGGCTCAAATGGCAGATGACAAATTTGTTGTTTTTCCCAAGGAGCCTACTGGGGTAGTCCTTGCGGGCATCGCCGGCACCAGTACGGATCAGAAGATTAGAACACGGGGCGTTAGAGTCCTTCCTTCTTGGTGGTCTGCGTGCAAACCAGATAGCCCTGGTTGACCTGGTTGTTTCATCTTGTCAAGCCACAAAAACAATCGGGTCTTTCAGATTAATAGCTGAGGATTTTAACTGGGAATACATTCAATAGTGGTTGTACGGTGGACTAAAGTCTTCACCTGAAGAATCTTCACTCAAGCAAACCATTCCCAAACACTTGCCCAAAGCACGAAGTCCTAGGGATTGTCCTGTCCCACCCTTCGACTTGAACACACTCCTGCTTATTGGGCAATGTCTTTACTTGCGAGCCCTACTTCCAGGCTGCATGATTTCAAGATGAATTGAACGAAGGAACCCGACATGCATCATCGTTGCGAGTGTGGTGCTGTAATTAGACAGCTGCATCGGACTTAGGTTGTTTTCCAGATGTTTGCAACAATGAAAAGGGCCCTAAGACTGGCGAAGCGGCTTAGCACCCCTTCCGTTCCTGAGGCCCAGGAAAGGGCCGACGAGGTGCGCCTTTCGCCGTTTGCCCGGGGGTGGGGGCGGAGCGGGGGAAGGGTTGCTTCTGCCTTGGCGGGTTTTCGCCCCAAAGCAGCGCAACGATTGAAGAAGTTGCCTTCTTGGAAGCTTGCATAGTTTGGCCAAACCACAGTGTCCAGTGCATGTAGATTTCTGTGCGTGTGCGTGTGTGTGTGTTTATTTGTGGGCGTATCCCTGACATGCTTCCCAAGGATGCTTGACACATCAACTGCTGTGTTTGTTTGGAGATGCGTTTGGGGCAGGTTTCTGCATCCCGAATTCTAGTGCCCAACTTTCGTTCTGCAAGTTGCTGATGCCATTGACCTTCCTGCCCCATCGCTGAGGTTAAACTTGTTGGGGACTAGGGTGGGGGGGAATCATTTTGACACAGGGCCAGGCCGACAACAGCAACAACACGTCAACACGTCGTTGTTTGCATCGTCGAAGCATGCTGCGCATGGGAAGCCACTCGAGTTGCGCATGGATGTCATGGACCAGATCCACAAGCATACAGCACGACCACTGGTTACTATAAGATCATTGCCAAATGACTAGAATAGAGTTGCGGAGCACTGTGAACACCAATTGAACATAATTGAACCATGATCACGGGAGTCATTGCGTGTGTGCAATTACTTAGCCACCCAAACAGAAGCGGACAATGTATACATATATATATATATATATGTGAGGCCGCAGAATGCTGGCATCGTTGATTGATCAGGTCCGGTTCTAGCCTGCGTTGAACTTGACAGCGGCTCCATGGCGGTTCGAAGCGAGTTGTTTCATTACACTGCCACATTTGGAGGACCCGCCGTGAAATGTTGCTGTCCCCCATTTGGGACAGCCGTGGTATTTTAGAACGGTGCGTTTTTGGAGACGTTGGGTGGTGCACACAGAAATCTAGCAGAGCTCGCTTGCCTAAATAAATCGAGCTTTGAACGTTTTGGATTTCCTCATATTGGCTCAGTTTAACTCATGGCCAACGTTCCAGGCCGTTTGCTTGCACCTTGTGCGGCACCCGTTTTCTCTTTTCTGAACATCCGGGCTTCCCACGTCACCCCAAACGGGGCGTTCTTCGGATCGCCAGGGAGCCTTTGCGGAGCTCTGGGCCCGACGCGACAGATCGGACGAGTTGTTGCATCCGCCGTTGCTTTGTTTTTGTTTCAAGTCCATGAGAAACCGCTTTGGGAAGCCAAAAGCAGAGCCACCAAAAGCGTAATTTGTGCTGGACCATGGGTTTTCAGCGTCAAACATGTTGGAGTTGGTCTTTCCGACCCCAAAAGGACTGGACCCGCCCTTTTCCAATTTGTTTCGCAACATGGAATTGGACCCTGGGAAGGTTGCTACACTTGTAAAAGCGTCAATATATCGACCCAGGTATCCATTCCCCCGCCCCCCCCCCCCCGCGTTGGGAGATTGCCAAACGTGTAAAGACCCTTGCTAAGAGGGGGGTCTTTGCTCAGAAAAGCGCAAGGGGTGTAGAAAGATAGGCAGCTAAGTTGTCCCAAGCCGACCTTTTGATTCTGTTGTTTTTCCCTCGCTAGCTGGTCTACTTTCAGTCATAGCCCCAAACACTGGATTAACGTTTACTTCCAGCTCCTTCGGCAAGCGAGCAAACCCTGCCTAAGTTTGGCAGCTCCCTCGGGGTGCGCAAGATGCGATGTCAAACTAGCCACCTGGAATTGTTGTCATCCGAGCCCAGTGTGCATGTCACCCTTTTCCCCAAAGCGAGCCTTGAACAGACCGATCCATGAGGGTTATAAGATTGGTATCGTCTTCTTCGGCTCCCCAATGCACAGCACATCTGCCATCCGCTCTTGAAGCAAGCGGATTGTTTTTGCCCCTCAAGTCCCATCCTGCACAGGTGCCAGGTGCCAGTACACACTTCCCCGCGATACCATTTGTCAACAAAGCTAGGATAGGAGCGGTGCTTCTGCAACGGCGGCAATGATATATTCTACCACCCGAAAGCCATGCTCAGCATCACGTGTTGCTTGAGCGGGTAGCGGGCCCCTCGATCAGGCTCCATGGCCCTTAACACTTGCCAAACATGGGGCAGCACGAGGCTAAAATAGGCTAAAGGCCTTAACGGTTGGGCGGGGATGCTGGGCCCCCTTCTGAAACGGTCCCCGGTCCCCGGGATTTGAGCCGCTTCAAGCGAATCGAATGTATCTGAACTGTTCCTTGACCTTGTTTTGTCGGAGGAAACTTGTTAGGAAGAGAGACCAACATGCAAAACACCTTTGTTTCGGTGTGTCCCATTTTTTGAGAATGGGAATATGTCAAAGTTGGCGACTTCGTAGTAGTTGTCCTTTTGGCATCCGCTATCTAACCGGAGCCAGGCTATCCTCGACAAATGCACCCTTACGAAGAACAAGAGTCTGGTTGCTTTTGCCACGTTCCTTTTTTGGGCTCCTGGACAATGCGAAGAAGAGACATCTCCTTGAAGTTCCGGTAGAAGAACGGAAGGAATGCCAAGCTATTTGGGCTTCGGTTCCCAACGGAGACACCTTTTTCAGAGGGAGTGGATGAGCGCCGATGGTCTCCTGGGGTTGAGGCGCACATCTTTCGGCAGCTCAGGGCCCTGGCATCCGATGCCAGGCCATCGGATAGCCGCAGTCGAAACGAGCCCACAGCTTTCGACCAAATGGGCTCTTCTTTTTGTTGAGGGTTACCTCTTTTTGGGTTGACTTGGAGGGAACCCAAAAGGAAACCCACCGTTTTGGGGTTCCCCTATTTTGAGGCATGCCCAAATGGCTATGAAGTTTTATTTTTCGAGTTGTAACCACCTCAAAGCGGCTGGTGGACATGAATTTTCACCGAGTTTCGATGTCCCTAGTGTTTCAGCCAAATACCCAGACACCCAGCAGGAGGGGGGTACCCCTTGAAATTCAGGAACCAACAAAAAGAGTGCCGATCCTTTTCATCCCCTTGTCCACGGGAGGTCTCGGAACAAGACAAGCAATCCGCCTAAGGCCTAGGCTTCCCTTAGCTTTTTGGACTTGTGGCCAGAAAAACCACGGGGACTTGCGTCAAGGTCCTGGACTCCATACTTTTTGGGGAGACCGGCTCAGTGGTAAATAGAAAGTCTAAGTTCTCCCCTCAGGATGTGAAGATTGGAATTCCTTGCGTGACCGAATCGCTCCTTGGAGCTTTTGGAAACAAGTGTTTCTTCCGTTAAGGCCACGAAAGCTCTGAGGGGCTTGGAGCAACCCAGTTTTGGGGCTGTTGCAAACGGACCCCCCTCGCAAAGGGCATTTTTCATCCTTTTTAGGCAATCTAATTTTGAGAAAGTGATTTAGTTTCCTGAGGGCGCTAGTGAAACTAGTTAGTTTAAATAGCGACCTCAAGAGGCTAATCTTAGATGGTGCAAATAGCTAGTGGATCCTTGCAAACTGCTCGCGGATAGGCCAGAGGTGCGGAATTGCGCGGCCGGGAGCACAGAGTGCCGGCGAAAAAAATAGGTGGATTCCACTCAGCCCAAAGCCGACTTCTTTCTTTGCTCTCCCATGTTTGGTGCTTTTTCTCATGTCTGGATTTCTCACATGTTTCCACAAGTTTGTGTTGTTCCCCAATGTTTGTTTTTTCCTATTTAGGGGATTATTTGTATGGCTTTACACGTCCGCAGATGATATTTTCGACTTAAAGACTGCGGTTGGATATTGCCTTTCTAAGTTTGCGGCGGGACAAGATCTACACTAGGTTTTGAACATCATGAACCAAGAGCTTAGTCATTTACACTTGCAGGCACCACTTGAGGCACAATGAAAGCGGAATGGGTAGAAGGTTTGGCTTGGGTCCTTCAAGTGCCCTTCCTGCCGAAAAAGAAGACATCTAGCCAACTCGGTAAGAATTCGTCGGGAAGCCTTTGGTGTATTCCACCAATGTAAGCAAGGTAGGGGCTAGTCCCAGGCCCCTTCCGCCCAACGTTCAACGCTTTCAGAACGTGCAAGAAGCACAACGGAGGGGACCCCATCCCCCCAAGAAGGATCTCTCAGAACCCTCACCCAGAACATTGCCCTGAAAGGGTTCTAAGAGCACTCCGCTTACGAGGCCTTCAGTTTACTCCACACGTCGAGCTTGCCCACCGGCTCGATGCGGCAAGCACACCGCAGAAGAGTCACAACCAATTGCTTCAACTCCAAACACTTCAACTGTTTGACGTCAAAGCTGTTGCCCAGGGGTTTAAAGGATAATGAACTTTTGTGCTGGTGCGTTACGAGCACATCTACTCTCGCTTGGTGGTCCGAAAGCATTGCAAGCTTGCTCGAAGAATGAGAAAGTGGGGTTGCTTTCAAGGGAAACATCCATGGAATCAACCATCTACGCCGTCTAAATGTTGCCTGACGCGGTCCACGGCTCCGTCGCATGTTGATCTCCGCGCATTGAGTATGCCGCAGGCCATACTCGTTGAAAAACCGCCCAATATTGTTTAGTTAAGGGCGCCCTTTGCCCAAGGCGTGGCCCAATGAACAAGTGACTGTGGGTAAAGGCCGCGAATCTTTGTCACCAAGCGAAACGGCAGGAGGATGCGGGAGTTGCAAGTCTTTTGTGGCTACTGGGCTCGAGGGGAAGCCCGAGTGATTGGATTTGCCTGGCAATCACGCAACTTGACTGCACACGACAGATCTTTCACAGGACGAAGCACCGGCTGCCAGTATCTAAAGATGATGACTTGCTTGCTTGAAGCAACATTCAATTTGTGTTCGCCATTTGGGCCCTACCAACCTGGTAGATGGCTGGCTCCTGTTTTGCCGGCGATCGGGATTATGCGCCGCCCCTACACATGTCAACGTACAATCCAACACTGAGTTCTGAAACCGTGCAAGCATATTGCTGATTGTGCACTGCTTGTTTGTGTGGTGACATGTTTTTTTTTTTTTTGTTTGGCTTTGAGATGGCATTGTGTCATATTTGCCTTGGTCATGCAGCCTGGTTTGGCTGCCTGGGATTATAGATGATGGTCATGGACCATTTGCTTGGAGGTTACAAAGTCAAAGTTAGCCGCTCAGACGACACAGTCGGGCGACAGTGCCCCACCTAGCGAAGGTTGGATCAACTTGCCACAGGATCATAGCATCCCACACCCACTCCCCGCCCCATTTCCACCTTTTTCATGAAATTAGCCCCGCAATTAGAATCTTACAATGTGGTGTGGGGGTTTGTGGGTGGTCCAGGTCCCATAGGCTGCGTGTTGAAAGTTTGCAGGTCCGAAGACAAGTCCGATCGCCTGACTGATTCGTCGGCTTGGATGTATGCAGTTTCCCGGCCCTTTGTTTGAAGCTCGACTTTGTCACCTCTTTGAGTTGCATGCGGCTGACCCCGATTGAACATATTGATATGAAGCGCGCAATGGTCGGCGTCCCTTCATTTTTTATGTTGGCTCAATTCCAGCAAAGCCTACCTCAAACAAGAGCACGCATACACGTAAGAATCCCTGGTGTGAACGTTGAGTCAATTCGCCACTGAATGCCGCCCAATGCGTGTCCAGTATGATAACGACAAGTCAATGATTAGTGCTTTAGGCAGAGGGCCAGGCCAGACAGGTTTGCATAGATCCAAGCTAGTAGCCTAGGTCACTCAGGTGATTTGGACCCTTCGCACCAGATGACTTTCCTCAGATCTAACTGACGAACTCTAAGGCTGAAGGAATCAAACGGGATTTGCGTACTCCTTATGGATGTCGCAACTCATTAGCATGCGTAGCTATGAGTCCCTGACAGTTTGCAGGGCCTGCACAGTGCTGTCGGATTTGCCCTTGGTGAAACTGCAAGGCCGGTCATTTTGCGCTTCTTAAACAGACCATGAATTTTCAAAAGAACCATGATCCCTAAACAAATGATGTCCGAAATGTCCCCCGTGAGAATTCAGACCCATATTGGGTGGAAAGTTTGCTTTTGAAAGGATGTTCTGAGCGTTTCGGGCAGCAGCTCCTGTTGCGGGATGCCCAGGCAAGCCATGCGCTTTGGGCAACGAACCGCCACGCAGATCATAGAGTCCGTGGCGAAGAATGACACAGGCGAAGCGTCATCCCCTAGGCATGAATGTGCCTCTTTTTGCGAGGAGCCACCTGTTCGTTGGTTTTGAAGGGAAACCAAAAGGAAACGAAGGAAACCAGCCATTTTTCCGGGGTTCCACTCATTTGAAGATAGGCCAATATACGGAAGATGCGGAGAGGTAGCCCCAACGAGACCCCTTCATACATCGTCCTTTTGCACAATCAGCATTCACAAATCGAGACGACTCCCCAACAGGAAGTCAACACCTCTTGGGCGCAAGTCTTCCCCTTTGCAGTAATCTCTGAATCTAGCCCTGTGGAAAAGTGCTAGTTTTTGATGTGCTAAATGTGTGCACTTTGTGTGGTGGTCGCACGTGATTTGGTTGGTTGCTTACTTGTTTTGTTCTTTTGTTTGTTGTTTTGGGAGGGGGTGGCCGGAAGCTATGTGCTTTTGCTGACGGGGCTGGGAAGGTGACAAGGGAAAGAGGTGAATGAGCGAGCCCATCGATATGAAGGTGATCGGCCAGTGAGAATTGGTTGATGAATGTGAATCAGGGGGCCCAAAACAGGATCTAACAAGGGTTCCAGCTTGCACCAAAGGACAAGAATGAGTAAATCATCCTGGATGTGTTAGAACCCATTTAGGGTTGCCCAAAGCTGTCTTTTAACCTTTTGAGACGAATGGTTGCTTGCCTAGCACCAACTGCATTTTTGCCGGAGTCATAGACTGGCCATCACTGGCCTGGATTATTTCATTGCATGGGAAGCTGACATTGTGGTAGATTGCGCTCCTTTTTTGGTGGCGCAATGGGACTGAAGCCCGCGGCTTCACCCTTTGACTAGATGTACTTGTTGGTTGTGAATCAATGGTTGCCTCTGCATGATTTCACACGAAGGGGACACAATGTTTGTCTTTGGAGGGGTCCCTGTATCTCACGTGCCCAAAGCAAATCGGCCTTTTCACCTGTTGGTGTCCGTGATTTGGTGCATTTTTCAGTCCTGGCCACGAAAGGTTCAACTTTTATTTCTAGGTCCAAACTGTTTGGTCACTGGGCAACTGAGGGGCCCTAGAAATCGCCTCGGACTCCTCCTGGGGATCGAAGGCGACACCTTGGACCTCACCAAGAACGCCTCCTTCTGCATGCCGGGGACACCAAGAACGCCGCGCTAACCGGGTATAGAAATGCATGTCAGTGCTCATTCAGAGATAGACATTGAGACACTTGTAAGTGTATACGTCGCAATGTTTATACATAATGAATCTATACATGTATGTTTGGGGAATCTGGTTTCAATTTGTTTGTATTGGTCATTTTCCAGCATCGATTTTCCTTCAAAGGACGGGCGTGGGTCCTTTCTCGGTTGCTCCGAACCTCAAAGTGGCCAATCCACAAGGAGCACTGGTCGACGTGGTTGGGGTTCTCGGGCCTTCGTGGCGCCAGGTGTCTACCCATCTTGCATTTGTTGAACTGAAGCTTGTTTGTGTTCCCCTGGGTTTAGAGGGAATCTATACTAGACGTACGTCTTGTTTTTTGTTTCACAGGGGCCTCAAGCAAATTGAGGTTCTGAAAGAGCCTGGTTCTCCTGCGGTGCGATCGCCGAGGCGATCACTGGAGAACACCGGCGCGCTGGCAGAGGCGCTGAAGAAGAACACCGCCATCAAGACACTGGCCGAGGGAACTTTCAAACCCCAGTTGAGAATATGTCTGTGTGTGTGTGTGTTTTGTTTTCTCGGGGGGACCCTTTCGTGAGCATCATTTAGGTGGGGATTCATTTCCCCCAGCCATTTTTGAGAGGCTCCAACTCTGAATATTCACACCCACATGGTTTCCAAGTTCAATAGATGTCACCGTTTTTGTTTTGCGCTTTGTTTGGTAATGTTTTTAAAGAGGGGTATATTATCTTCTGTTTGTGCTTCGGTTTTGTTGTAGATTTTGCTTTGTGCTCATGTCCATAGTTCCTGCTGCAAGACATGCTTTGCTTGCATGCCAATGCTTGCATGCCAATGCTTCAGTAGTTCTTCTTTGTGTAAGTTCTGGTTGAACTCTGCCTGTTTTCCGAAAGTCATCTTTGGGAAAGCCACAGGCTTTCATTTGGGGTTGCAATTTTGGAGACTACCCTTTGTTGTCTGAATTTAAAGAGAATTTCAAGCTGGAAAACAGAAGCTATTTTGGGGGTTCTCCAAAAAAGTCAGACACACCCATTCCATTTGCATAAAGTAGTGCCGTATTATTGAATGTCGGCTTTAGAGAGAAACTTGAATTAAGGACTTTCGTTCTTTGCGCACCAGCAATTAGGAGTACAGTTGGGTGACAGTAGATGACCAATTCCATCATTTTGGTTTTGTCATCGCTTTTACCCACACGTCGTGATTTGAGAGTGTCCTTTTGAGATTTTTTGAAGTTCCAAGAGGAAGCATACCATTTGGAGGGG